AAAAAGACAGAGTTTAAAGAGTATTGGGATGTTAGACAAAAAATAATGTTAGACTTTTCTGTCTGTAGATACCAGTCAGTCAAAGGTAAAACTATCCACAAAATAGAAAAAGACAGTTGGATCTCGGGAAAACTAAGATTTGAATTTCTAAGATTTAGAGTCAAAATCTGAAAGTGAAAATGGTTAAGTATCAAGAAAAGAGAATGTAGAGTCAAAAAGAGGGGCTGACACTGGGTCATAGTGGGTAAAGCCACCACTCGCAATGCTCCTGGCTCCGGCCTGGCCCAGCCCTGGCCATTGTAATCATTTGGAGAGTGACCAGCAGATGGAAGATTTCTCTGTATCTCCTCCTCTCTCAGAAATCCTGCCTTTCAAATAAATAAATAAATCTTAAAGGAGGAGGAGAAGGAGAAGTAGAAGGAGAAAGCGAAGGAGAAAAGAAGAACTGAAGGAAGAAAAGGCAATGAAATAAGAGTAGCCAAAGGGGTCAGCACAGTGGTGTAGTAGGTAAAGCCACCACCTGCAGTGCTGACATCCCATATGGGCACTGGTTCAAGTTCCAACCACTCTACTTCCGATCCAGCTCTCTGCAATGGCCTGGGAAAGCAGAAGATGGCACAAGTCTTTGGGCGCCTGAACCCACGTGGGAGATTCGGAAGAAGCACCTGGCTCCTGGCTTCCAACTGGCGCAGCTCTGGCTGTTGCGGCCAACTGGGGAGTGAACTAGTGGATGGAAGACCTCTCTCTCTCTCTCTCTCTCTGTCTCTTTCTCTCACTGTGAAACTCTGACTTTCAAATAAATAAATAAATCTTTAAAAAGAGAGTAACCAAAAAGGAAGAAAAATGATGGAAACAGTTTAACACAGGTTGAGGCAGTTTGAGAAGAGTGGCAACAAAGTCAAATATAGACATCATGGAGGAGCAAGAACAACAGACAGTGTAATAAACGTGTGAAATAAATATGACAGACCATCTTTAATGGTGGGGATGACACTCAAAGGCAAAAAATTAATCACAAATGCATTTTACAAATACTTATGGTAAAAAGGAAGAGAACAAATTTTTTTAAAAAGGCAGTTAGGGATAAAATTTCTACTTCCTAACAAAATAAAACCAAACTAGAAAAATGTTTATAAGCAGAATAAACCCAAAAGAGAGAAAGAGATGAAGACACAGGTTAACTGAATATGGTCATACTGAAGTAGTGAAGGTAAAAGATAAGGTTAACTTTTGAGACAAGTTTGATCTCTGAGATTAATATATAAGTGGAGGTAACACCAAAAAATTAGGGGTTGCAAAGTTAATTTTAGGAAAAATTTCAAAATGATGAACATTCAATTGAGTAATTGTTAGGTTATGTTTATAACTAAAAGACCAAAATAAAAACTTTATTGGCTAACGTGGCTAATCCTCCGCCTGTGGCACTAGCATCCCATATGGGCGCTGGGTTCTAGTCCCAGTTGCTCCTCTTCCAGGCCAGCTCTCTGCTGTGGCCCAGGAGGGCAGTGGAGGATGGCCCAAGTGCTTGGGCCCTGCACCCCATGGGAGACCAGGAGGAAGCACCTGGCTCCTGGCTTCAGATCGGCGTAGCTCCGGCCGTAGCGGCCATTTGGGGGGTGAACCAACGGAAGGAAGACCTTTCTCTCTCTCTCTCTCTAACTCTGTCAAAAAAAAAAAAAAAACTTTAGGGTTCTGAAAATGATTGGATAAACATTCAGATAAAGTAAGTCTTTGTGCCAGTTGAGACACATATATCCCCTATTAGAGTTTTAAGTCCCAGCTCGAGCTTCCTGCTAATGTGGACTCAGGGAGGTAGCAGGTGATGACCCAAGTGACTGTGTCCCTGCTACCCACGTGGGAGACCTAGATTCAGTTCCAGGCTCTTGGATTCAGTGTGGACCATTGCAGTCATTTAAAGAGTAACAAGCAGATGGGAGCTGTCTGAAAAGAAAACAAAACAGTCTTTCCTTTAAAAAATAGAATTAAATCTAAGTTTATGATTATGAAGTCAGGGTTGGTTGGATCAAACATTGTTTCATAACCTAGAACTGGGAATAGAGAAAGTTCAAATGGGGAAGTCTTTCAACTTTCCCCTTGCCCATTATGCCACATGAGCATTGACTAAAGGTATAAAAAGATCCTAGGACAAAAACACATCAGCAATCAAAACATGACTCTGATGGTAAGACTGAGTGTAAAACTCAATGAGTGTTGCTAGATGAAAAAAGGAGTGAAAGCCCCTGACCACCATCAGGTAATGGGAATAAAATTTGTAATGAATAAAATTTGTATAGGATGATATCGCAATGTATCATGGTATGGAAGAGGATTCAAGAGCTCAAAAACTGATGTGATGTGTTGGGCACTTAAGGAGTCAAAGGATGATGAGGCTGACTGATCATCAAAGAGTAAAAACCGTGAAAAAAAGTGCTGAAGCCACAAATGAAGGCTAGAGAATACGTGAACGCATTTATCTGTCAGTGGTCAGAAAGTAATATAAGAACAGTACTTGGTGCAGCAGTTAAGATGTTGCTTGGGATGCCTGGGCTTGTGTCCTAGCTCTGTGCCTGATCCCAGCTTCTTTTGAATGCAGACCCAGACAGGCAGCAGGTGATGGATGAAGTTCTTGGGTCCTTATCACCCACATGTGAGACCCAGATTGAGTTCCTGGCTTCTGACTTCAGCTTGGCTCCATCCTAGCTCTTGTGGGCACTGGGATGTTGAACCAGTAGATAGGAGATTTCTGAGATTCTCTCTCTCTGTGTCTTTGAAATACCCCCATATAGAAGTTAATGGATTTTAGTCATAGCTTCACTGTCAATTCCAACTTCCTGCTACCACCCAACATGGGAGGCAGAAGGTGATGGCTCAAGTACTCACATCTTTACTCTCAAATGAGAGACTGGGACTGAGTTCCAGGCTCCTGACATTGGCTTCACCCAGGCCCAGCAGCTGCAGGCATTTTGGGAGTGAACCAGTGAATGGAACATCTCTTTTTTTTTTTCTTTGACAGGCAGAGTGGACAGTGAAAGAGAGAGACAGAGAGAAAGGTCTTCCTTTGCCGTTGGTTCACCCTCCAATGGCCGACACAGCCGGCGCGCTGCGGCCAGCGCACCGCGCTGATCCAATGGCAGGCGCCAGGTACTTATCCTGGTCTCCCATGGGGTGCAGGGCCCAAGCACTTGGGCCATCCTCCACTGCACTCCCTGGCCACAGCAGAGAGTTGGCCTGGAAGAGGGGCAACCGGGACAGAATCCGGCACCCCGACTGGGACTAGAACCCGGTGTGCCGGCGCCGCAAGGTGGAGGATTAGCCTAGTGAGCCGCGGTGTGGACAGAACATCTCTCTTGATTGATCTGTCTCCCTTTTTTTCTCCCTCCCTCAGTTTCTAATAAGCAAAATAAAAACCATAGGTAAACAGGGGCTGGCATTGTGGTGCAACAAGTTAAGCCACTGCCTGCAATCCCAGCATCCCAAATGGGTGCCAGTTTGAGTCCCAGATGCTCTATTTCTGATCCAGCTCCATGCTAATGAACCTAAGAGAACAATGGAAGATGGCCCAAGTTCTTGGGCCCCTGCACTCATGTGGGAGACCTGAATGGAATTCTGCACTCCTGGCTTTGGCCTGGTCCTGCCCAGGCTATTCTAGCCATCTTTGTCTCTCTTTATCCCTCTGTAACTTTGCCTTCAAATTAATAAAAAAATCTCTAAAGATAAACAAATGAAGTAGTTAATTAAATATGAAAGTGATTTAAAATAAAAAATTAAGAGGTCATGTTATGATCTGTAAGAAACTGACATAATAATTATACATTAACTCTAGTATATCAATAAATGGGACAACCCAAGTTCTAAGAATTATTTCATATTTTTATTTATTTGAGAGACAGACAAAGACAGAAAGGGAAATCTCCCAACCACTGGTTTACTTCCTAATAACTCTCCAAAGTCTGGAGCCTGGGGTCACAGTGACACAGGTACTTGAGCCATTATCTGTTGCTTCCTAGGGTATGATCTTGCAGGAAGCTGGAATCAGGATTGGATCTGGGACTAATCCCAGACATTCAAACATGGGATGCAGGCTTCCTAGTCATTGACTTAATCATTGTGCCAAATGTCTAACCCTTTTTAAAAAGTTTTCATATATTTTACTTTTATTTATTTGAGAGGTGGACAGAGGGAAGGGAAAAAAATGAAGGGACAAAGATAGAGACAGAGACAAGGGACAACTTGATTTTGTATAAGCACATCTCTCAGGTTTATTTCTGAACACCTTTGCCTACTTGAAACAAAAAAAAACTACCCTAAAGAAATAAAGTATTCCTCTACTAATGAGATCAAAATGAAAGTAATGAAGGTTCTGAAGTATTACTCTAGCACAGAGTAAATGATAGGTATTCAAATCATTTAAGTTGAATGAATTAATGAAAAAGAATCCAAAAGGGGCACCATGGCTAGAATTGCCTAGCATCTTCACTGAATAGATTCAAGTATAGAAGGCTGCTCAGCTAGCTGGAAAGAAAGACAAATGGAGAGATGGATTACAGAGAAAAGAAACAAAGAAAAACAGATCAAATAAAGTTCCTAAAATCAGTGGAAATGCTGAGGGGTCTCAAAATGTTTGCTTCGAGAAAGTTAATAGTAATGCTAGTACATGTATTTATTTTGTACATATATTTAAAACTTCACAATTTTTAAAAAAATAATCATTTTGAAATACCCATAAGGAAAAATAAACTCTACAGAAAAACTATTTGCCTAACAAACCTATCTTAAATTTCATTTGTTTAATTAACTCTTCCTATAATTTTATTCTACTAATTTCTTGATTGGTGTGCCAGAAAATAGTTCCAAGGCAATATCCTAGAAGTTCCTTATTAATAGATCCTTTAGTTCCCAAAGAGAAAAAACTGCCTTCTAATAGAAAAACTTTCTTTTCAAAACAAAAACTTGTTGATGTATAATTTGAATTAGCGATTTACATGTTTAACTCATCTTACCTCATCATATGATTTACATAGGCTTTGCTACAGCTAGTGTTGTATCTGCAAAAACTACAGTGGACATATGTAGGAAAATGGTTTGCAAAATCTTTTATTTCGGAACAACATTCAATGCACTTGTGAACGCCCCGACGATACCTTATGGAGACATAAAGAAAATGATAAAAATATATTTTAAAACAAAAATATTAAGGGAGAACCTTATTAATGTTCTGTTAACTAAATAACAAAGTTTTTATGCTTAAATTTGAGTTAGTATTGTGTATCAGGAATAAAAGATTACCTTAAGTTCCTCAATGCTGTATTGACTTTACTTTTTTTATTGCTACTAGCCAATGTGCTTTGTTTCTTTTGCATATTAGAGATTTTTGATTTGTACTTAGATTTATTTCCATTAGGCTTACTGGCATTGGGTTTACTCGCATTGGATTTGGTTGTATTAGGTTTACTTGTATTCAATTTTGTGGGAGTTTTATCAGTTATATTTTTAGTCCTTGGAGGTGAGAGCTGAAGGGTAGAAGTGCTTGCACTAATGGATGGTGTGACCGAAGATCCTGACTGGAGAGGTCCAACAGAAGCTCGAATGGTAACCTACAAAAATGAAGTAAATATTTGCTTTAAGAAAGTAATCATTATATTAATATCAGAATATCATTGTACAAAAAGTTAGACATTAAGTATTTTGAAAAAAAATAAGATAAACTACAATCTCAGTAAGTCTTCCATTTATTCTAAATGGTCAAAAAATCAATATAATGGAATTAAACTTGGTATGTATTCACTTGTAATATGATATACTTGTATTTTTGTACTGATATCAATTATATGTTAACACAGTTATTAATGGATAATTAGGAGTTAATGCAAATTATATGAATATAAAAAGACCACAATTCACAGCTATTTTTATGCTCTGATATATGACAAAAATTCACAAACACATAGCTGAAAATTTAAATCTCAAAGCCTGAATAAAACTCTAAAAAGGCCTGATCTATCCTTTCATAACTCAAAACAAAAGGATTTACAGTAAATGTGACCTCTTCTTTCAAGAGGCTCAATGCTTAGTATTTATGCTCACAAATTTTATGGAAGGAGTTGTATCAATTCTATATATATATACAGCATGAAAAATTAAATAATATTTAGAATTTTCTTACAGAGAACAAATATGATGTTTATCATTTAGTATTTATAAAGAAAAAACTGAACCTGTTGGTTGACAATGAAAACACAATTGCCTACCAACATTCTCATGAAGATGTACTGTGAAATACATGTGCTTGGGAATCAAACAAAAGCACTGGACCAGGAATCAACAGAACCAAGCAAATTTTATACTATGTCTTCCTAGTCATGTGACCTAGAATAAGTACCTTATCCTTTCTGAGTCTTTTCTCCTCCACAATACAACTCAATACTTGTCAGTGTCACTGGATTGTTGTATGGGTTAAATAACAGAATGTATGAAAAAAGTATACTGAAAGCCTGATTCTAAGGTGCTATAAAAACATTTAGTATCATTATCATTAATATTATTATTATTATTATTATTAAGGGAAGAAATGAGAGAGTACTGCACTGCTTACATTAGTGTTCTGCATGTCTAGTCCCAGCATGAAATGAATGGACTGCAGGGAAGGATGCTGGATAGCTTCTCTTGCTCTAGGTCTTCAGAGCATGGCTTTACATTGTTTTAGTTAATTCAAATAACAGACATACCCACACTCAAAGGTAAGTACCCAAAGCCAAATATAAATGTTTTGGGGATTATTTCACTTTGGATTATCCATGCCTCTGTTTCCCTCCACTGGAGCAAATATTCAAGAGCTGACTGTATATAAAGAAGTCAGAGAAAACAGATGTACATAAGGCAAAAAGGGAAAAGTAAATTAGAATCATCAGTATGCAGTCAGACGTGTTTGCTCACTTAAAACACAATGCTATCCAGCAGCAGAACTTGCTTCTCTGAGAGTATACTCATTAATAACAACTTCAAGAAACATTTGAGAACCTATGGCATTCAAGGTGCCTTACCAGATGCTGGGAATACAAAGATAAATAAAACATGATTCCTCATCTCAAACATTTTAATCTTTATCAGCCAAAACCAACATATATAATGCCAACTGGAATAGCTCAAAACAGTCTATACACTACTGAAACAACCCACCGACTCAGGAAACAGTTTTAATCTAGTTGTACTTTTTACAAAGAAATACAACTTCAACATAGCACCCACCACTGATCTCAATATGATATTTAGATGTTTTTCTTTCTAAGCATCAGAATTATAAAACCTAAAATAAAGTTTTAATGAAAATCAGAAGTCATTTTTTAAAAATAGTACATTCAATAGATAAAACTGAGCAGGAGTTAATGTCTTTTATCAAACACAACGTTAAAATACAACATATTTGAACTCACTTTTGTCCCAGGAGGCAATCCTTCCAGTTGTTTGGGTTTTATAAATGTCCGATGATGCTGAGTCTTATGATCCAATTTCTCTTTGCATGTCAAAAATTGCAGTCTGCATTTTGTACAACGATGTATTCCTTTTTTCTGTTTAGAAAGCAAAATAAAGAAGAACAAATAATTTCTGTAAGCTCAATTCCTTTGTCCTAAGGTTACTCTCACTTAGCTCTAATGATACTGAAGGAGGCAGGAGTGTGGGAAAGCACAGGCTGGAGGGAGGATAGGGTAGGGAGTATCATTATGCTCCTAAATCTGTCATATATACACATTTCATGTATAAATACATGACATTTGTTCAGCTTATATAAATAAAAAATATTTTAAAGAATGTTAAAATTAGTAGTTCACCATTTCACATCATAAATAATTCCTTAATCCATTTCAGTTTTTGCACTAGTGTTGATATTTGGGATTTAAAAGTGTTTGAATTTTTAAATAAAGGAATAAAACATGGCAAGTTCCACCAATAAGTTCTAATGAAAGTTCTATCAACTGGTGTGAAAGCTCTTTTAATTATATGCATTAAGTATTTAAAAAGTGATACTGTAAAAGTTTTATGCTAGAAATAAATAAATCTCTTTTTAATTTTTGCTTTTCCAGTTGCATAACAAGTTGGTAAAATAAATTCTCTAAAACCAAATAAATCTTAGCAGCCATTTCAAAGAAGGTTGTCATAGATATGTTTGCATAAAGCATTACTGTCCAATCAAACTTACTGTAATGGTGAAATGTTCTAGAGCTATATTGTTCAACATCATAGCTACTAGTCACGTGGTTATTGATCATCACTCAAAATATGGCAAGTGCAACCAAAGATCTGAATTTTTAATTTTAATATAAATTCAAACAGTCACAGGCAGCTAGTGGCTACTACATAAGACAACGTAGACAGGGAGATATAAAACTTAACAGCTAATCACAATCTACTTATTGGTTAGGAATTTGAGTCCCTCCATAAACACAGTCCTGTCATTATTCTACAGATAGGACACGGGACCACTGAACAATCTGTCACTTCCCCGAAGATAATTAAAAACAATCATAAACTTCAATTAAGCTCTATAGTGAGTTTACAAAACCTGATCCCATGATCAGATTCTGTACATTCATTAGCTTCTGATTTTGACAAAAGCACTACGGCTTTTCCAAGCACTCAGGAATAAGATCAAATATTTGATCAAAAATTTTAGCCCAAACAAAAGATGGTTTAGCTGTTTCAGGAAAATAACAAAGAAACATAACATCAGAATTCAAGGAAAGGATAAAAGTACCAATACAAGGTCCCCAAAATTACACAGCATAACTGGCAGAAATTATCCAGTAAACAATTTATGATCTAAATATAGCTCTCTGGCAGAATTCCAATACCGACAGGAAGTGTCGTTACTGTTTTCTTTAGCATGCAGCTATAAATAACTACTCTGGATCAATGATGACAAGATATTTTCTCATTTTACTGGGGAGATGGAGAAGTAGAAATAAAGTTTAAAGAGAAAAAGGAGAACAAAATTATGAGTTCTCAATCTTTTCTTCCTAAGTTCAGACTCACCTTTCCCCCTTCTGATAACTCCCCTCCAAAAGGACTGCTTACCTTATGTTAAACTCTAAAAAATCCCATCTTTTGTAGATTACACTCACTTTCTGTTTTTTCTCTCAAACCTAGGCAACTCATATCTAGGTATTTTTCAGAAATTTTATTACATAGGAGCTACACTAAAACACTAAAAAGGAAGTTTAAAAAAAGTGGAAGTTTCACAGGTTATTCAACATCATTTTCAAACTAATCATGTTATTTGGAACTCTACTTTCTTTGCAGAACAAATCTAATCAATGTTCTGGGTGACAATCAATCTTTTCTGCTCTCACAACAGGAACAAATAAGAACAGGTAAATCTTACCTGATGCTTCATATAATGATGCATATAGGGTGTTGCAATTTTAATAACTTTGAGGCAAAATGGACACAGCAGGTTCTTTGTGTTCTCATGGGATGTTCTAAAATGAGTTTCTACATCAGAAAATGATGATGATCTATAATTGCAAACCTAGGGATGAAAGGAAGGTTTATTTAACTTTAAAGTTAATAACAGATGTGCAGTTATGAAATAACAATGATGGATCATTTATTTAGAAGATCATTATGTACGACTAATCCAGCTCTGATGCCTATACAACCAAGAATTCCACTAATGTAAGCACCAAAAGCTAATCTTTGAGACAGGAAAGTTACCTTTCAAAGTTAAGGAATTTTTCTCAAAGTATAACTAGATTCCCTTCTTTCTAACAGATCTTTTCATCTATCATTCCCCATCTTGACTTGAACTTTCAAGTTCTGGTACCTCTTGTCCTACAAAATGCTTTTTTCTGCTATATAAAACAGCATTCTCTTTTAGACTATAAATAGCCTCCAGGCTATGGTTATGGCAACTTATCTTTCTCTTATTTCCTTATTTCTTCAAATTCTGAAAAAAATGAGTCCCAAAGCATTTAATAGGGTCCTTTGCAACTAACAGCATTTTGTATTCCCCTTGGATACCTACATTCTCCTCTATATGGTACAGTAATTCCATGTTTTGCCTTTCTCTAGCAAGAATCTTATTTATCTAGTACATGGATGGGTAAAACAACAGCAGTTGAGCCAAATGCAGGCCCCTGCTTACCCCTCATATAATACATGACTTGCCAAGGGACTTCCTACTGACAAATTACTTACAAGAGTGGGTTTTAGTTGGCATTTTTATCTAAATATGAATATAAAATAAAAGACTAATATATTTCATGACACATTTAAATTACATCAAATTCAAATTTCACCATCCATATATATTTTTATTGGAATACAGATACATCTAGTCATTCACTTACTGTCTACGGCTGCATTTGTGCTATGAAAGCAGAGCTGATTAGTTACAAAAGAGATTGAACAAAGCAAAAAATTAATTGAAAATAGAACGAAAATGTTTATTTTTGTTCAAAATATTTTTGGAGTCAATGCATATGAAGGGTCTTCAAAAAAGTTTATGAAAAACACATATTATGAAAAATGATGCATGGATCTGAAAAAAAATTTGCAGCAAAATAACATCTTTTAATTCCGTTTTCCAATAACTTTTTGAAGTAACCTGATGTAACCTTGACAGGAATGAAAAAATTACCATCTTTACTTTTCACAGGAAACAAATTTTGCTGACTCTGGGTCTAATAGGTTTAAATCTTATACCTAAAACCAAAACAAACACAGCATGAACGTAATAAAATTTGTGTATACCTGGCAGATATATGGCATCTCACCGGGTTTATGATTGTCCTTCATATGTTGTAAAAGAACATGTTCTGTTTCGAATGATAATTCACAGATTTTACAAATGGCTAAAAGTGAGAAAGAAATAGTATTATAATATTTTAAAGTACATACATCTATATCAACACTATTTTTTAAAAATAACCACTTCCTTTTTTTTTTTTTGGTAAAGACTTATTTTATTAGTTGGAAAAGCAGAGTTACAGGTAGAGAAGAATCTTCCATCCATTGGTTTACTCCTCAAATGGCCATAACTGGGACTGGGCCAGGAAAAAGCCAGGAGCCAAGTGCTTTCTCCTATTTTCCCTACTATCAAGTACTAAGTAACTTGCCTGAAATCATGTAGCTTATTTAGAGGTAGATGAGTTTTCAAACCAGTATGTCCAATTCCAGAATCTGTTATTTTAACTATAATTGTAGCAGTGGGCATTTAGCACAGTGGTTAAGATGCCACTTGGGACACTCACATCTCATATTGTGTTCCTGAGTTCAAGTACTGTCACCATTCCCAATTCCAACTTCCTGTCAATGCACACCCTTGGAGGCAGGAAGTGATGGCTCAAGTATTTTGGTCCCTGCCATTCACAAAGGAGAGAAGACCTGGACTGAGTTTCTAGTTCCTAGGCCCTGGCAAGGGAGATGACTTTGTCATTCTACCTCTCTTTCTCTGTTTCTCTGACTCTGTCTCTCTACTTGGCCAATAAAAAATAAGTATTTTTTTAAATAGGAAAGAAGATTATTCTAAATAAACTATAACTGTAGTTACTTTTCTAATTAAAGTTTCAATGAAGGTCACTGATTCCATATTTGAAAATTATGATCCGAGGCTATACCCAGTCATTGATCATACATTACACATATTTCAAGAGATTTTAATTTTATTAACTAATTTTATTTAAAAATATAAAAGCTCAAACAGAAAACTTTCAATTTTTTTCTTCAAATTCCAAAGTCTATTTCTTATTCTTACTTTTCCAACAGACTTTTTTCCATAGTTTGTATCATCAAAGCCAGTAACACTGAATACCTACATGAAATTACAACTTACTAGAAAATTCATGGGGAGTGTGTGTACTTTCGATGTGACACTGCAGCTGAAATGGTGTGGGAAACTGACGGTAGCAGTGCTGGCAGGTGGTGTGGTTTTCCCAGCTCTCACTGCTCTGCTTCTCAAGTTCCAAATGATGTTTCATGTGGTTCATAAACCTATAAATGATTGTCAACAGGTGCTAAAGTTCAGATTTAGAAACAAAAAGAAAAATCTCACAAGTATCTGAACCTATATCTTTAAAAAAAAGAGATGCATTACTCAAAATCTCAAAAGCCTTAAAAGTCCTCTAGAAAACTCTATACTTAATTCCTTTAAATCTTTTCAACTTTTTTTAGAAAATTAATTAATTGTAATTATCTGAAATATCACTGATTTGATGTAGATCTCAAAAGTTACTTCAGATAATTAAAATCTTTAAGATGAAATAGCCAGGTTCTTTTCCATAGCTGCAATACAATTTACATTTTAAAATAAAATACTGAGAAAAAGGAAACCCTACCACCAAAAGCAACTACAGTATAAAGAGAGAAATCTGGCATCAAGAGAGAAATTTTGAAGATATACAATATATTCCAGCTGCTTAAAAGACAAATTACTGGTATTTTTACTTGTGTCTTGGTTTCTAAATGCATGTAATAGCAATTTTAATGCCTACAATTACAAGAACCTTTTGTTTTATTTAATGATACTGGTTTACTGTTAACACAGACTGTTCATTTTATCTTGCAGACTGTGCCCTTTGTAGGCAACGTCCATTTTTCAGTTTTACATTCTGCTATTTCAGCTTCCCTAAAAGGCTTCTTATGAACAGGAACTATGACCTTCAACAGAAGAAAGTGTAATATAAATGGGAACACCTATTTAAAAGAGCTTACTGAAGCTTTTTGCTGATTTTGAAAGCAAACCTATTCAGTCAAAACAACAATTTTTGGACTGGTCAACCATTAATAACTATTCACTTTGAAACACTTTGAGTCACAAAATAATCTTGAACTACTAATGTCACCAGTCTGAATCATCATCATCATGAAGGTTACTATATATATATATATATACACACACATATATACTATAAAACTATATAGTATATACTATACAATATATACTATACTGTACTATATATTCTCTCTCGCTCGCTCTCTCATATATATATATAAAAGATATATATAAGATATATATATGTATTTTTCAATCACACAAAACACTAGTGCTCTTTAGGGCAGGTTTTGGTACACCTTGAAATTTCTCCTTTGGTTTTAACACCTGTTCTACAAACACTGCAGAAAACCTTAGTCTTAGTTAGTTATTTACATATAGAGGAAAGGTCATGATCCATTAAACTTTCAGCACACAACTTGAAGCAATTAAAGTATAACTACATAAAAGTTCCTTAACCAGCTGGCCTTCTCTGAATTAGTGGATCCCCCATTAGGAGCTCATACTTCTTGAACACATAAATGAAAATGGGGGAAACCAAAAAAGCAAACTTCTTACAAGGATGGTCGCAAAACAAAATAAACCTGTTTTAGTGACACTCAATGGGGGGGGGGGGGGGACAACACAACAACATAGCATGATATGCCAACAGCACCGTAGAAATTTTTAGCTATCGGTTTTTACTATTCTCTACAATCATCAATTTGCCTTCCCAGTTTTTACAGGAAAAAATTAAAGTAACACATAATACAATATCTTTCATTTCTTTAGTCATAAGGCATTTACCATTAAGGTTACATTTACTAAATAATCATTATGTTTTAAAATGCTTAATTTCTAGATATTATCAAATGTAGTTTGCTTAAAATTTCTAATTATTCTGATAACTTAAGACTCATATAATTTCTTCTGAAATGGGAAAAATTATTATTCTGATAACTTAGACTCATGTAATTTCTTCTGAAAGGAAAATGACTTTTCATTTCCATGTTTCATACTAAATGGGTTAATCTTAAAGAAAAAGCCAAAGAATTACTGCTGAAATAACCTGTATTATCCTATGCCTATCACTGAACAGGAAACTAAGGAAGCCAATGAGCCTCATTTCTACTCATTTTACTCTATTTACTAACATGACATTCTGGTGTATTTTACTACTAAAACAAAAATATATGACAATAGATGTCAAAGTTTTACTGTAATATTCTTTCAGTGTTATATTTCACAGCACAAACTCCCTTCTGTTAAACTACTAACATCACTAAATATTGGTGGCTGTTAAAGTGCAATAAAAGGAGGTAAAGAAATATGAAAATTGGTATGAAATCAAGAATGTAAAAAAAACTTGGAAAACTTTATTATAAAGCACTATCATACAGAAACCATTAACAATTATTATAGGAAGGTATCACAGTATATTTCAGGGTTTTTCCACATGTTTCTTTTTAGTCCCCTGAATTCACAGGAAAAATATATAAATGCTGCACACAGATTTAACTATAGATTCTTTAAAATGCTAATTACAGATGATAGTTATCAAGAACAAACACAAAAAGGCACACATACAGGCTTATGCTTTTGAATACAGAGATATTTCACCAGTGGGAAGTACATTGATGTCTACAATATACTTTGAAATGAGTCAAAAACACCAGAAAGTTTGAAGGAAAGAAGTATGAAAAGATATACTACAAAGCAAACACAGTGGAATGTTACAAGGATGGTAAGAATACAAGTATCCACTATGAAATTTTTAAAACTTCAATACTAGAAAATGTTTATAATAAAATGCTAGAGAAAACAATCTTATCTAATATAAATGTCAAGCTATACGCCAATGGAAAATTTTATTTGATCCGTCTTTTTTACTTTTTTCTTGTTATTAACTTAAATAGGATGATACCTTCATAGATAATGTCATGTTAACTCAAGGTTTACAAAATATAAACTCCTTAAATTTAAAATATCCATTTATAATAGCTTCAAAATCCCATTGAGAATTAAATTTTTAAAGGTGTTAAATTTAAAATAAAAGTAGCAATGTTTCCTAGAATTGGTATCTTTCCAAAGTAGTAGTAGTAGTTAAAAAAATTAAAAATATCAGCTAAAAGATTTGAGCATTGAATAAAGTTAGCTTGTCCAACTGAACAAACATCAAGAAATTTTTTGTGCTGTAAAGAAAAATGAAATTCAAAGACAGCTAGAGAATGAAAAATATCTAGTAAAAATTCCTAGATTACTGGTTTTAAAAAACTGTCATTAAGCTATGTGTAAGAAACACAGCCAAGTGCAAGTGGATCTAGAAACCAAGCACTAAAATACAACAAAGAGTAAATGCTTTTCAACAAGACAATCTGCCTTTGTTTTTAGACGAAAATGATAAAACTGCTGATTTAGAATGGCACTGAAAACTATGAGCTTCAACATTTTATATCTATAGCATTGCAATTTTCAAATAAAAACAAAAATAAGCATTTACATACCTAATATTATTTTTTAAGATTTTCAAGCAACTGAAGCATTTAAAGGTTGTATGAGTCTTCTGTTCTTCCTGGACATCTCCTTCATGTTTTCCATAATAAAAGTCATTAACTAACATGATCAATTTTCCTTTCTCTGAATCAACAGTCTTATTTTTATTTGTTGTGCTTGACAATTCTGTTTTAGCTAGCCCCAAAAAGTTATTTATCATGTCTGGACAACAATACTGAAAGAGAGAAAAAAAAAAGGGCTTATTTATTTTTTTAAAAACTAAATAGCAAAAAAAAAAAAAAAAAAAATCTATGTTTACAACTAAGGCCAGATCATGTAAAACAATACTTGATAATAACAAATATGGGAAAAAAGTCATCAAAAATTCATTGTGCATACACAAATTTTAAAAATTTGAAACAACAAATTCCTATTACATTAATAAAAAAATTTCAAAGAGAAATGAGAAACTTTAAATCAGGACTGGGCTATAGTCTAATAGCTTTTTCTCTTCAATTTACCTATTCGGGTATAACTATTCAATAATAATTTATTCCTTAACCAAAAATCATTAATTTTATATTAATGTCTTGATATAGTATAGGAAGGAAATGCAGTTCCATGTGCCTTGATGTGTATGTCTAATTATCAAGAGATACACAGAATTCCACAAAGCTTGATTAGAACTGGACTTTGAAACAACCTAATTTGCCATTTCCCAGACTCAAGGTATTAGAAAATGTATGGAACACAAAGAGGCATTAGTTTCATCTTGAAAACTTCAAAAGTTAAGTTTTGAAACTGAGAATGTTTAAATATTCAAAGGGGAATCAAGATTTCACATAAACTAGTTCTAATACAGAATACATTCGTACATGAAGTACTTTTTCTAAAACAAGATATAACTATTTCACTGACTGTACAGAATTGTAAGTTGTAGGATTTCTTCAGGACAATTTTCTCAGAGTACATTCAGATGAAGACCTACACTAGAAAAATGCTTGTTAAAATGCTAATTCCTGTACCCAATGTCAGAAAGACTAAACCACAATATCTAGAGATAGGGCTCAAAGGCTGTGTTTCTAAAAAGCAACTCAGGTAACTGTTTTATAATTTAAATGCCTCCTAAATGCGTTATTTATTACATTAGTAGCAACATAAAAAAGTTTGAAAATCTAAACACAACTCTAAGACAATAAGATCTACTTCCTCTTCTGTCACATGTTAGATAATTGTTGAAACATCCTATACTACATGGGCCTTTGATCCAAGACAGACCTGTAACATCTCCTTCAAGGTGGCATTATACTCATTTTGTTTGACTTGTCAACTTGTCAAAAGAAAAAAAAAACCACTAAAACAAGCAAACAAAAAAAACCTACAGCAGATCCAAAGAAAATTGAATAAAACGACATACAAAAAAGTGATAGAATGGGGACAGCACTGTGGCATACCAGGTAAAGCCATTGCCTGCAGTGCTGGCATACCATATAGGCATTAGTTCCAGTCCCGACTGCTCCACTTTCAATCCAATTCCCTGCTACATGTATCTGGGAAAGCAACAGGGGATGGGCCAAGTCCTGGGGCCCCTGCCACCCGCATGGGAGTCCTGGATGAAGCTTCTGGATCTGGGCTTCAGCTTAGCCCAGCTCTGGCTATTGCAACTAACAGGGGAGTGAACCAGATGGTGGAAGACCTCTCTCTGTCTCTCTGTCTCTCCCTCTCTCTGTAACATTGCCTCTGAAATAATCTTTTAAAAAATAAACACACCAACCTGGTTTACAGAACCTATTTTACACAATGTTTCAGATACCCATAAAAAAGCTGAATAGCAAACTATTGATAACAATGAACAATAAGGGGTAGTGAACTAAGGTAGAAATTAATTTAAAAGGAAAGCAAAATATATGCCAGAAAATATCCAAAAGACAGACAACAATGTAAAGAAGTAGGTTCAGATTTAAGAAGGCAGAGTAAGCTATGGAAGGCATAGCTGAGTAATGGCTCAAGATCAACTTGTCATCTTGTGTTCAGCTTTTTTTTTTTTTTTAAGATTTATTTTTATTTTTATTTTTATTTGAAAGGCAGAGTTACAGAAAGGGGGAAAGAGAGAGCTCTGGTTCCACCTGATGGTTCACTCCTCAAATGGCTGCAACAGCCAAAGCTGTGCCAATCCAAAGCCAGGAGCTTCTTCTAGATCACACACGCAGGTACAGGAGCTCAGACTTGGGCCACCTTCCACTGCTTTCCCAAGCCATAGCAGAGAGCTGGATTGGAAATGGAGCAGCCGGGACATGAACTGGGACCCATGTGGGATGCCAGCACTGCAGGCGGTGGCTTTACCTACTACACCACAGCACCGGCCCCTTGTGTTCAGCTTTAGCAGCCTTTTGGTTTTAGCCCTTACCTGCAACTCCCAGCTCCTCACTAACCCATTATTTCCCTGTGTTAGCCATTCTGCAAATATCAAATACTTTTAATGCCACATATTGTAGCTTCACAAACATCAAACACCATTATATACACACCATTCTCATATAACTCCTCCCAGTGTATAGACTGTATGCTATTGCTTTGTTACTGGCCTAAAAAATTCAGGTATGATTTTCAGAGCAATGGAGATGGGAGACTATTTTTAAAAAGTAAAACAAGATGGGCCAGCACCGCGGCTCACTAGGCTAATCCTCTGCCTTACGGTGCCGGCACACCAGGTTCTAGTCCCGGTCGGGGCACCGGATTCTGTCCCAGTTGCCCCTCTTCCAGGCCAACTCTCTGCTGTGGCCAGGGAGTGCAGTGGAGGATGGCCCAAGTGCTTGGGCCCTGCACCCTATGGGAGACCAGGATAAGTACCTGGCTCCTGCCATCGGATCAGCGTGGGGCGCCGGCCGCAGCGCACCGGCCGCAGCGGCCATTGGAGGGTGAACCAACGGCAAAAGGAAGACCTTTCTCTCTGTCTCTCTCTCTCTCTCACTGTCCACTCTGCCTGTCAAAAAAAAAAAAAAAAAAAGTAAAACAAGATGTTTCACATAACTACAAAGGTCAACATTTTTTCCTTTTCTACCTGAGAATTATCTAAAAACCAAAATGACCAAGTTCTACAAGTCTGATTTTACTGAACTAAGTGTCAGGAAAAACCAACGCACTCCACAATGTATGAAAAACTATCCAAAGCAACCAACATCAGCCAATGACAGAAGGAATGTAGCTGGAAGATCAAAGTCAAAAGGATCAACAGCAACAGATCTCAGAAAGTGTCAGCAAAAATATACATCCTAAAGGTGAGAGACATATCTAATACACAAGTTACAGCCTTTGTTTGCAAAATCAGGTGCAGAATCTAAGCCTGAAAATTGGCAAAGTACCCCAGACCTGATTCAGTACAGAGAAACAGAAAAGGCAATGTTACATAAACATTCAAACACACAAGTCATACTTGCAGGACACCTTCTTATGTGCCCATAAGACTACCATGGCAACCTATGGCTTTGTCCCAAAAGGGATTTTATACAAAATAGCAGCCCAAGAAATTCAACCTGTTAACATGATAGGAATCATATTTGAACAAAAATATTTAATATAAAAGTAAACAAATAACAGGAGGATATAAAATTATCCTAACAAAAATCCCAGAAACACGTTGCCACAGAACAGATGCAGATTTGTAAAGAGTGGCCCAAATTTTTGTCACAAATTTTAAAACATTAATGAAGCCACCATCTCTATTTGAAAGGTTACAAAAACAAAAAAAGATGGCAAGACAATAAAAAAAGAGTGGAAAAATCAGGGGGAAGATAGAAGGAAAAAATAAAAGAGACAAAGATAAATTAGAGCAGGGTACAGTGGTGAATAGACACTGCAAAATATAATAAAGGACAGAGAGGTTGGTAATGAGAAAAGCAAATAAATGTTTTAAAGGATTAAAAAGAAAATAGCAGATATACCAGCCAAAACATCAAACAAATTCATACTGGGGATGCAATTAACTAGAATAGAAATTTTCAAATGCAGTTCAAGAAAACGGTGCTCACAGAAAGACACAAATATATAGGTTGAAAGAACATGTTGTATGCCAAAGACAACTGATCCAAAATTCTCAATAGCAAGTTATGTCATTTTAAAGTTACTAGTCACCAAAAATAAAGAATCCTATGAAAAATCAGGCAAACAGATCAAATCACTTTACAAAAAGGGGCAAAATAACTCGGGCTTGTCCCAGATTCCTCAACAGCAACATTCAGTATTAAAAAATGGAAGAAATGGGGGAGGGAAGGGGCCAGTGCTGTGGTGTAGTAGGTAAAGCCTCCGCCTGCAGCACAGGCATTCCACAGGGTTTATGTGCCGGCTGCTCCTCTTCCCATCCAGCTTTCTGTTTATGGCCTGTGGAAGCAGTGGAAGGTGGCCCAAGTGTTGGGGAGGGGGGAGGAAGGGGAGAGAGGGGAGGGGAGAAGGAGGGAGAGGGGAGGGGAGAAGGGGGGAGAAGGGAGAGGAGAAGGGGAGGGGAAGGAGGGGTTCCTGCCAACTGTCCATGTGAGAGACCTGATTTGTGATCCAGCTCCTGGTTCAAGATTCAACCCAATCCTGGATGTTTTGGGAAACTGGTGAAACAGTCGATGGGATTCCTCACTCTCTCTGCCTCTCAATTAAATAAAAAGCAATTTTTTTTAAAAAAGATGGATTCTTCTATATTACAAAAAAACACAATAAACTTACAATGAAACTGCAATGTGTCAAAGAAAAGTACTCAAAAATATGGGTTGAAATGTGTTGATTCTCAATCCAGGAAAGATCAGGTAGACTAAACATAAGTGAAAGTAAAGAAATCTAAGTGTAATTAATAAGCTAAGCCTGGTTGATAAATACCAAATCTGGCCGGCGCCACGGCTCACTTGGCTAATCCTCCACCTGCAGCGCCGGCACCCCTGGTTCTAGTCCCAGTCAGGGCGCCGGATTCTGTCCCGGTTGCTCCTCTTCCAGTCCAGCTCTCTGCTGTGTCCCGGGAAGGCAGTGAAGGATGGCCCAAGTCCTTGGGCCCTGCACCTGCATGGGAGACCAGGAGGAAGCACCTGGCTCCTGGTTTCAGAACAGCACAGTGTGCCGGCCATGGTGGCCACTTGAGGGGTGAACCAATGGAAAAGGAAGACCTTTCTCTCTGTCTCTCTTTCTCTCTCACTAACTCTGCCTGTCCAAAAAAAAAAAAACCACAAAAGTCCATATCTTAAAAGAGAAATAACATATCTACTTTCAAGTCTCCACATTTAAAAAAAACTTTTTCTGGGCAGGTGTTGTGCTGTAGCAAGTTAAGCCTCCAACTGCAATGATAGCATCCCATATGGGCACCAGTCTGAATTCTGGCTGCTCCACTTCTGATCCAGCTCCCTACTAGTCTGTCTGGGAAAGCAGAGACAGAGGGTACAAGTGCTCAGGCCCCTACACCCAAGTGGGAGACCTGAAGGAAGCTCCTGGCTTCTGGCTTCAAATAGCAGTCTGAAGATCTCTCTCTCTCTCTGCAGCCCTTCTCCCAACGTTTTCAAATTAAAATATTTTTAAAAATTTTTTCCTATTTTATTTGAAAGGCAGAGAGGCACGAAAGGGAGGGGGGGAATAGAGGGAAGAGAGAGTTGGGGGAAAGAGAGAGAGAGACAAAAGAGACAGAGACAGACAGAGAAAGATATTCCATCTACTGGTTCACTCCCAAATAACCACAAAAACTGAGGATGCGCTAGGCTGACGCCAGGAGCCTGGAACTCAACTGGTATCCCACATGGACAGCGTGGACCCAAGTACTTGAGATATCACCTGCTGCCGTCCTGACTACACATCAGCAGGAAGCTGGGATTGGACGCAGAGCCGGGACTCAAATCCAGGCACTCTGCTATGGGATGCAAGAGTACCAAGCAGCATCCTAACCACTGCACCAGACACTCACCAAAGTTTCCACACAACATTACAATCTACACATTTTTTCCAAAAAGGAAAATGAAAGTATTTGTCAGAACTTAAACTTTACATGAAAGGGACTGATGTTTGAATGGCAGTTATGCCAATTAATTGGCTATACAATAATGAGGAAAATGTCTATCACAAAGAATTTTCTAAGGATTAAGTGAAATAATGATTTTTAAGAAAGATTTAACTTGTCTGAAAGGCAAAGTGGCAGACAGAGAGAGAGAAACAGAGAGAAAGAGATCTTCCATCTACTGGTTCACTTTCAAATGGCCATGATGGTTGAGACTGGGCCAGGCTAAAGCCAGGAACCTGGAACTCCATTCTGGTCTCAGACAAGAGTATCAGGGGCTGCCAGCACCTTGGCTCAATAGGCTAATCCTCTGCCTACCGCGCTGGCACACTGGGTTCTAGTCCTGGTCGGGGCGCCGGATTCTGTCCCGGTTGCCCCTCTTCCAGGCCAGCTCTCTGCTATGGCCCGGGAGGGCAGTGGAGGATGGCCCAAGTCCTTGGGCCCTGTGCTTGCATGGGAGACCAGGAGAAGCACCTGGCTCCTGGCATCGGATCGGCGTGGTGCATCAGCCGCAGTGGCCATTGGAGGGTGAACCAACGGCAAAGGAAAACCTTTCTCTCTCTCTCTCTCTCTCTCTCTCTCTCTCTCACTGTCCACTCTACCTGTCAAAAAAAAAAGAGTGTCAGGGGCCCAAGTACTTGGGCCACCTTCTGCTGCTTTCCCAGGCACATTAGAAGGGAGCTGAATCAGAAGAGAGCAGCCAAGACTCAAACCAAAAACTCTGATAAGAAATGCTGGCATCACAGGCAGTGGCTCAAAGTGCCATAACACTGGCTTATATCTTTTTAATAATATATTCAAAGTTTACTACTATGTCAAATACTTAGTACCAGATAAATTGTTCTAATCAGATAAACTGTTCTAATCACTGTAGAATATTAATATATTAAATATTTTCCATGGGAAAAATATTATTTCTGTGGTATAGTCAATTTCCATTTATCTATAATAGGAAAAAAATCATTCACAAATAAAAATCATATTTTTTCAAATAGGTTACTATTATAATATCAAAACCCTTTATTGATAAATAAAAATGTATAAGCTAGAAAGTAAAAATTCCTCAGTTTTAAATTTTTCCTCCCTAGATTTGTTCACTATTCCTTCAGATTTCTTCATGAGGCAAACACATATTGTTCATATTATACTCATATTCAACTTAGTTCAATAGTATATCTTATAGAATTATGGTATATATACACTGTGGAGTACTACTCAGCTATTTAAAAAAATGAAATTCTGTCTTTTGCAACAAAATGGATGCAACTGGAAACCATTATGCTGAGTAAAATAAGCCAGTCCCAAAAAGACAGATACCATGGCCGGCGCCCCGGCTCACTAGGCTAATCCTTCGCCTGCAGTGCCAGCACTCGGGTTCTACTCCCGGTTGGGGCGCCAGTTCTGTCCCAGTTGCTACTCTTCCAGTCCAGCTCTCTGCTGTGGCCTGGGAAGGCAGTGGAGGATGGCCCAAGTGCTTGGGCCCTGCACCCGCATGGGAGACCAGGAGGAGGTGCCTGGCTCCTGGCTTCGGATCAGCACAGCACGCTGGCCATGGCGGCCATTTGGGGGATGAACCAACGGAAAGAAGACCTTTCTCTCTCTCTCTCTCTCTCTAACTCTGCCTGTCAAAAAAAAAAAAAAAAAAAAAGACAGATAACATATGTTTTCCCTAATCTGAAATATATCTGAATCTGGGACAAAAACCTAAATGTACCTAAAACATAATGTATTGGAACAGAATGGATATTTTGAAATTTGATGATTACTTATGGCCCTCATCTCTCTCTCATCTCTTCTGTTGAGGAACAGTAGTTTTTTTCTTCACACTATTTGAACTCTTTTACTTAGTGTAGGGTTAACCTTATGATCATTAAGTACACTGAAAGTAGATCTTTGTAAAAATTAAGAGTGGGAGTGGGAAAGGATGGAGGAAGGGTTGGAACGTGGGAAGGAGAAAGGTAGGTTGTGTGAAGTATCACTATATTCTTAAGTCTGTATATAAAAATTTTAAAAACTAAAAAAAAATTGTATGTTATTGTATTATAGATTGTTCCATATCAATACCTATCAGAGGTAACTTTCCCTTTTTTAAAATATTTATTTATTTATCTGAAAGTCAGAATTATACAGAAAGAGAAGGAGAGGCAGAGAGAGAGAGAGAGAGAGAGGTCTTCCATCCACTGCTTCAGTCCCCAGATGGCCACAATGGCCAGAGCTGCGCTGTCCAAAGCCAGCAGCCAGCAGTTTCTTCCAAGTCTCCCACATGAGTGCAGGGGCCCAAGGACTTGAGCCATCTTCCACTTTCCCAGGCAATAGCAGAGAGCTGGATAGGAAGAGGAGCAGCCAGGACTCGAACCGGTGCCCATATGGGACACCAGCACTGCAGGGGGTAGCTATATCTGCTATGCCATAGCACCAGCCCCAACTTTCTTTCTTAATATGATGTAGTGGGCCGGCGCCACGGCTCACTAGGCTAATCCTCCGCCTAGCGGCGCCGGCACACCGGGTTCTAGTCCCGGTCGGGGCGCCGGATTCTGTCCCGGTTGCCCCTCTTCCAGGCCAGCTCTCTGCTGTGGCCAGGGAGTGCAGTGGAGGATGGCCCAGGTGCTTGGGCCCTGCACCCCATGGGAGACCAGGAAAAGCACCTGGCTCCTGGCTCCTGCCATCGGATCAGCGCGGTGCGCCGGCCGCAGCGCGCCGGCCGCTGCGGCCATTGGAGGGTGAACCAACGGCAAAGGAAGACCTTTCTCTCTGTCTCTCTCTCTCACTGTCCACTCTGCCTGTCAAAAAAATTAAAAAAAAAAAAATATGATGTAGTGTTCTAATGTATGATTATCGTATGATGTCTTGGTTGTTTCCAATACAAGTAACCACAAACAATGCAGTAACACCTAAATGCACATCTGAAAATGGCTGCATACGCCTCCAGGTGCAGAGTTCTACACAGTATGTTACAATTCTACACAGAAGTTAATTTTTAAAATGTAATGATTCAGGGGCTAGCAATGTGGCACAATAAGTTAAGGTGCTGCTTGTGATGCTCCCAAGTTTTTCCACTTCCAATCCATCTTCCTGCTAATGGGCCTAGAAAAGCAGCAGTATATGGTCCAAGTGCAGGGGCCCCTGCCACCAGATGAGAGACGAGGATGAAGCTCCAGACTCCTGGCTTCAACCTGGCCCAGCTCTGGCCATTACAGCCATTTGAGGAGTGAACCAGAGGAAGGAAAATTTCTGTCTCTCCCTCTCTCTGTAACTCCACCTTTCAAATAAATAAAAAGATCTTTTTAAAACAGTAATTATTCAGAAGGAATTTTTAAATCTTACTAAGGCAACCATTATGAATGCAAATTTTTACCTTACGTAGCAATATTAATATAAGATTTTTTTTTTAAATCTGAACAAACCATTATTTTCTACAAATGAACACTAATATTGATAGGAATTTACAGACTTCTTATAAATTAAAGTGTTAAAGAGTTTTACCTTCATGTGATTTTTCAAAGGATCCAAAAGATTGAAATGAATATTGCACTTTGGACAAGCTTTTGGAAAAGGTGTTCCATTTTTAGATTGATTCGATGAGCCATTTGCACCTAAAATACATTCAGAACACTTATGATTCAAATTCATAACTTCCTAATCTTGAATAACATTAGTAATAGTTTTAAATTTACAACAATTTCTAAAGTAAATTTCTTTTTATAAGCTATATTTTGTATTTACCTTTTGATGGCACAGCTTGGGGAGCTGTCACTGAAGGAGACTTAACTGAAGGGAATACAGCTGAGGAATTTGTTCCAGAAACACTTTCACTGGGCTTGGGCTTCTTGGGACTCACACTGTTTACTTCAGAAGCAGAAGGGCGTTTTGATAAAAATGAATTTTCATTTGCACCTTGAATGGTTTAATAGTGAAAGAAAGAATTTTAAAACATTATAAAATTTGTTTACAACAAGGTAAAAATAATTCACAGATAAATTAGTTAATTTAATCAACATACAAATGACAATGATAAAAACTGAGTGATCCAAACTCAGATGTATAAAGAAATAAAATAAATATTTACTATGGATTTCATGTATTCAAATAATTTGTGAAATAATCTTTTTAGCAAGAAAACTCTAAATTGGGCTTTACATTAAAAAAAACAATAGCTATTATAAAAGAAGCCAGACCAAAATATCCAAGGAAAAAAGAAAAAAATTAAAGCTGAGAATACTCTGAGTTTAGTTCCTACAAATTAACTATTTTTAGATGTTTAAGTACATGCATTGAATGTATTACTGTTGTCACCAATAACAATTTGTATTTGTTAACAAAAATTTAGAGACCCTAAAGAGGCTTTTTTATTTACAATGTAGAATGTGAAATGGAAAGGTAGTTCTTTTTCCATCTGAGAAGTGGTTGATTCACGTTTTTAGGTAATGTTACCTATTATTTCTACTATAGAGTGGAAACAACTATTCTTAAATGATAATATTTTAATCATTTATTTGAGTGAGTGCATAATGGCAAAGAATTGGTACAATGATTTTCATACGAGGTACCCAAGTTCATTTCAGGGAATTACTGGGCATGTACAACAAAGAAATTCTACTTTCACATGAAATTTTGTTTGGATAGAAATTTCATTTCTATAAATACTTTTTCATTTGAAAATTATTACCCTGAATCTAAAGACAGCCTTATTTAGAGCATTAGCAAGAGAAATGGAGATATATGAGCTCTACCCAGGCCAAGTAAAATTCTTTTTGAAAATAACACACAACTATATTTTGTAAGAAGGATTCTAAAACTGCGTATCACATATTAAAGGCCCCCAACTGTACTCTAAAAGTACAGAGGTAAAATAAATACCCCAGAAATATTTCAGGTTTTTAAGTCAGAAAGATAAAGTCAAATCCAAACTCTATTCTCTCTTGCTATGTATTCTCAGGTTTTTTCATTTCTCTAAGCCTCACTCCTGTCTTTTGTAAAATAAGTTATACCTTATTTTATAAAGATATTTTAAGAAAAATTATAAAAATAATGTAAAGTACTCAACAAAATACATGGTACATTCTACAATAAATGACAACTATTATTATTATTAATGAAACATTAACTTATTTAACTTACTTTAAAAAAGAAGAAAAACTATTCACTTTCAGCTTTTCAGTAAGGACAAACATGCCAGGAAAATAAGAGTATTATTCTAGTTGGTGTCTCTGCTTCTACTTTTTGGTAACACAAAAATGTTTCTCCTCATCATTAAAGTACTTGATTACTGGCAGATATACAGAAGCTATGTGGGAAAGATTCTTTGTAATCAAACTAGTATTACCGTGAGATCATTAGGTTCCCCAAAAAACTAACGAGCACTGGTATTTTGAATTAAGCAACTAATCATATTACACAGTGGATGGTAAAAATAGACTTTTAATATGAGAAATATTTTAACATAAGAAATCTCAAGGTTAAATAAAATCACTCTGCATTTGCTTTTAATTCTGACCCTTACTCTTACTGATCTCTGTTCTCAATGGCTTGTGCTTCTCCCTACTTTCAAAAGCTCTACCTCTGCCAATAAAACACCTTTCCTCATTCATTATCAAGCTCAAACTCAGTCTTCTCAAAATCCCCTTAATCTCCCTAGACAGGGTCTGTTAATAATGCTACTGTACATTATCATAACAACTGTTTATTGTCAAGTCCTTTAAATCTTGTAATGCACTTTCATATTTCACTTATTTCGGAATCAAAAAAGCTTTGTGTAAAACACAGTGAGAAATTCATGAGTGCTTCAAAAATTCATGGAAAATGGAATTAAAAGATGCATTTACTTTAATGCAAAAAAAATTTTTTTAATGCAGATACTTTTTTCTCCAAATGGTTGATCCCAGGTATAGGAAATAAATGCATTATTCAAGAAAAATGAAAATTTCTATTCTTAACAATTAGAGAAAACTGAAGTATAAACAGGTCAGGTGATTTGATAATTATAAAAATCTCAAGATAGAGGTCCAAATCTACATCTTCCAAATATCCTACTTACTGCCCAGCCTAACGTCCCACTCTCTGTGGTTTAAAAAAAAAAAAAAAAAAAAAAAACAAAAAAAAAACACCTAAGAGTCATTGTTTTTACTTATTCCTAAGATCCAAGAATTCGGACTTTTTCTAAAAGCTCACATGCTTTATAAAATGAGACTGAAGACAACACTTTTTCCTCTCTGTTTCTTTTGGTTCTTTCCTTTCTTGCTAGCTATATTTGTGAAGCATGCAACAACACCCAGAAAACCCCTCTATTTCTAGTAAAAAAAATTTGGTGGAGGGTTTGGTAAATTCTCTGCACCAATTTGATAGAAAACAATCTAAAAGTTAACAAAAAAATCATCTATTATCTCCATTTAGTCAAATACTTGAAATATATATAAACTGCTAAAGCACAATCACTTTAATTAGAGAATTTTCAACTAGATAAAATTCTTTCATAGCACACTAATATATTTTAAATTAATGAAGAACTCCATTATGTTATATCCTCAAAGAACTTAAAATCGTCTTCAATAGGGAAATTGCATTACTCCATCAATGGGCTTTTATTGAGTGCTTACCCTGTACAAATAACTATTTCTCTTCCGTGGTTATTTTATAATCATATTTTTCACATGAAATAATTTATTAGGACAGAAAAATATTTACCCAATTACAAAATCAACTACAATCATGCATCTTTGTGCATTAGTAGTCATAGAAAATAATTAAAACTTTCTAAACAGTATTTAGAGTATTTAAACGCCTCTAGTTCATAAAAATTATTTCAAGATTTTTCAGGGCAAGGTTGGCTTCATAGCTCCTTTGCTATGGCCTGGGAAAGCAGTGGAAGATGGCTCAAGTCCTTGAGCCCCTGTACCCACATGGGAGACCCAGAGGAAGCTCATGGCTCCTGGCTTCAGATCAGCACAACTCTGGCTATTGCGGCCAACTGGGGAGTCAACCAGCGAATGGAAGACCTCTCTCTCTCCCTCTCTCTCACTCCCTCTCCTTCTCTCTGCCTCTCCTTCTCTCTCTGTGTAACTCTGAATTTCAAATAAATAAATCTTTAAAAAAAAATGAGCTCAAAGCTTTTGGCCTATTTTATAAAGAGAAGTAAAAATATTAAGCAAGATATATAATATTAATATAATATTAAGTATAATATATAAGTATAAAATATTATATAATAATCTAAACTATTAAATAACATATATACATATATAAAATCACCCAAGAAAGGCATTGAAGAACTAGTGCCATCCCAACTTTAGAAATATGAAACACATCCTTCAAGGGTACAAGCTTCAAAGACAATTCCTTATGCATATTCATCAAGCTTCTTTTCTTCAGTCTTTGTGAAAAAGTACTAAAACCAACCTGCTACAGAAACTGTTGGTCCACCTTGAAAATGTGGTAATCCTGCATCCTGGGTCAAATCAAACAGTAACTCTGGAGCGTTATTCGACACAACTCGCAAAGAGTTTGTTACAGAACCCTGCCAAAATATTTTAGAGGAAGAATATTATATATATATTCAAACTTATTTTGTTTCATAAATGTTTAAATATCCTAAAGATAACCTCGGATGACCTAATTATTAGTAAGTTAAAAAACATAAAGGTAATACTATTTTGCCAAAATTTTCTACTAAAACTCAAAGCAAACTATTATTTATATCTAGTTAATTACTAATTAGACAACTAAAATGGAAGGCAAACTTTAGTACAACTTTTAAGAAACCCAAAGCCACTTTATATTAACAATTTTGCTAAAATTTAGAGAGATTCTACACATATGGTAATCCCACTTAAGAGAAAGTAATAGAATTCAACAAACTCTTCAGGCATAAGAGAGGAGAAAAATAAAAAGCATATTGGTTGGATTGAAAAATTAAAGTTTCTGGGGGCCAGCGCCGTGGCTCACTTGGTTAATCTTCTGTCTGTGGTGCCAGCATCCCATATGGGCGCCGGGTTCTAGTCCTGGTTGCCCCTCTTCCAGTCCAGCTCTCTGCTGTGGCCTAGGAGGGCAGTGGAGGATGGCCCAAGTGCTTGGGCCCCTGCACCCACATGGGAGACCAGGAGGAAGCACCTGGCTCCTGGCTTCGGATCAGTGTAGCACCAGATGTGGCGGCCATTTGAGGAGTGAACCAACGGAAGGAAGATCTTTCTCTCTGTCTCTCTCTCTCACTATCTATAACTCTACTTGTCAAATACAGTTTCTATACTTCAAAGAACTCCACATCCAAAATATCAGAACTGGGAAACAATCTGTAGCACTGTTCATCAGCTTAATGATGACTATATCATATGATGTAAATTATATAGTCATCTTTACTGAAGAAGTTTATGAACTAAAGAACACAAAGATGAAGAGTGTGCCCCTCACTCTTCCCATCATGTCACAAAAAGCTGTGCTGTGTAAGGCAATCTCCTGTTTCATAAAGCAAATATGGTTAAGCCTCTGCCTGCAGCACCAGCATTCCAGTCCCTGCTGCTCCACCTGTAATCCAGCTCCCTGCTAATGGCATGGGAAAGCAGTGGATGATAGCTCAAGTGCACCCACATGTTTGATCTGGAAGAAGCTACATAATTCAGCCCAGCTCCAGCTGTTGCAGCCATTTGGGGAGTCAACCAGCAGATGGAAGACCTCTCCCTCTCTCTCTAACTCTGCCTCTCAAATAAATCTTAAAAAAAAAGAAAGACTGGAAAAATTCTAATAAATTTTGCAATTTAGTTATTTTTAATTGCCTGATTATAATTTTCATATGAAGGGAATCTGGGTATAGTGTATATGAGAACTCTCTGCTCTATTTTGTACATTTAATACCAGTTTGAATAAAAAATTAAAAAGCAATGATAACATTCACTATTGACAAGTAGAGTTTATATTCTGGTATAATTTTTCTGCACAAAAATTTTGGCAGGAGTTAGCAAAGGCTATTTTTTGAAGCAATTATTCCATTTTCAAGAATTTACGAAGAAATGAAAATGTTAATGGGGAACTGTACAGAAAAAAAATCTAACCCATGCATCCAATAATTAAATAAATGGATAGACTACCATGCAACCATTAGCATCAAGTTTTTGAGAAACATCCAATGACATGCTTGAAGCACAATGTTCTCTGAAAAAAGAGAAATACCTGAATATATGATAACATACTAAGCAATATACCTTTCTAAATTTTCTCCTCAAAATGCCTATTATTCTATAACATAAACCTAAGAATTTTGACCTGTGCTAATAAACTGAGAGAAAATTGGGCTTTAAGAATTTGGCTTTGTTTCTAACTTTTCTATTGAGATGGGTTTGTTAAAAAGTTATGAAAATACAGCTATTGAAGTAACCCAAATCACTCCTAGAATTTGAGTCCTAACAGGCAGATACAGGCATTTGAACCTTACCATACAATATTTTTAAAAATGTCAAATGATTAACAAATATCATATTTTCTCCAAATAGTTAACCTTTATAAATGGAAAATCTTCACTTGCATCTTCCAAAATGGTTCTCTAGCCAAAATATAATAAAGTTAAATACCACAATTTCAGAAAGCAGACAGCACATTATTCAACAACAAACTAGTTAAAATAATCCTCCAGTAAAGAATTTTTAGTGTATTATAAAACAATTCAGAACAATAAGTAGGAAAGAATAGGCACTAGATGGGGATTTGGAAGATCTATACATTCATTTAATTATGTAAGCTTGGGCAAGTCACTTCTAAGCTTCAAGTTATGCACCTTTCAAACTCAAATAACGGCCATACAATTTTATATTTTAAATGTACTTGCTCTTCATGGTACGTGTATTGTATCAAGTAGTTACAACAAAGTACTTATAAACACCTAATATTCTCTCTCATTTCATAAACAGATAAACCTGGGCTGGCACTGTGGCAAAGCAGGTAAAGCCACCGCCTGCAGTGCTGGCATCCCATATGGGCGCCAGTTCAAGCCCCAGCTACTCCACTTCCGAATCAATTCTCTGCTATGGCCTGGGAAAGCAGTAGATGATGGCCCAAGCCCTTGGGCCCCTGTACCCATGTGGGAAACCCAGAAGAAGCTCCTGGCTCCTGAAGGCCTCTCTCTCTCTCTGCCTCTGCCTCTCTGTAACTCTGCCTAAAAAAATAAACAGATAAACTAAGATTCAGTAGGGTTCAGTAAGGCTCCCACGACAGCTCTGCTTGCTACTGAGGTGGTAGGAATTAGAACTAGGTCTGATTACAAAGACAGTGCCCTTTAACACACTGACTGTAAGTGATAATAATATATCCCATCATTGTCTACCTGAAACAGACGTTGAAATACAAAGATATTTCATGAAAAAGTAAAAACACACTTCACAAAACATGACATAAAATTAAAAACTATTAATTATTATTTATTAAAACCAGTGGCTTCTAAAATTCAGAGAAAAAGTCCCTTAAATAGATTTATCATTTATCATTTTGGAATATACCTATCATTCTGTGCACATAGAGTCACTGAGTTTTTGAATTATATTATGGTTTGTAGGCCTCTTCCAGACCAATTGGCAAAAATCTCACTTTTTAAAATAAACCCTTTTTTAAGCACTGTGGCATCCCAGAAGTTGACAGTTGGGGTCCCGGATGCTCTACTTTCAATCCATGCACTGGGAAAGCAGTGGAGGATGGCCCAAGTACGTGGGCCCCTGCCCCAATGTGGCAGATGATCTAAATGAAGCTCCTGGCTCCTAGCTTTGACCTGGCCCAGCTCCGGTCACTGCAGCTCTTTGAGAAGAGAACTAGCGGATGGAAGATTCTCTCTCTTCCTCTCTGCCTCTGTCTTTCTCTCTATAAGTCTTTCAAATAAATAAATAAATCTTTAAAAATTAAAAATAAAAGAATCCCAAGATTGGGAACCACCAAATAGAAGTGTTTTAATTTCAAAACTATATATACAGAAACAAAAAACATTCCAAGCCAGAAAAGTTTCAAGTTTCTAACTTTTATAAAAACAAAAATCTACCTGTTGCTTTTTTTTTCTCCCCAGATCTAATATTAGAAAAACTTTATCCACCAAACTGCATTAAATAATCAAGTTTTTGTAGTTATTTTCCCCAAAAAATACCAAACAATTTACAATAAACAAGAGAAAACCAGTGAGTTAATGTGACCCCACCTAACAGCAAACAATTTTTACATTCTGGGCAGCTTTCCACCTTACTTTAACAACAGCTATTGCAATTTCTTTAAGCATTAATAATAACCTATGCGATCTCAGAGTTTCAAAGAGAGACTCAGTGGTCTCCCATATTGATCCTATTATCTAAAGACCAAACATTTTAAGAAAAATTGATCACCATTTCTCTAAGGCAGTGGTACCCTAACTCTTGGCTTTAAGTACTCTTTATATATTTAAAAATTACTGAAATAAAAAGAAGTTTTGTTCACATTAGCTATACCTATCATTACAGAGCATACTAGAAATTAAAACAGAGAAAACTAAGGCTGTGGCATAGGAGGTTAAAGCCCTGGTCTGCAGTGCTGGTATCACATATGGGCACTGGTTCGATTCCTGGCTGCTCCACTTTCAATATAGCTCCCTGCTAATATACTTGGAGAAGTAGTGGAGGATAGCCCAAGTCCTTGGGCCCCTATACCCATGTGGGAGCCCTGGAGGAAGCTCCTGGCTTGTGGCTTTGGATCAGCTCAGCTCTGGCCATTGTGGCCATTTGGGGAGTGAACTTGCAGATGTAAGAACTCTCTCTCTGTGGCTCTTTCAAATAAACAAAATAAATCTTCAAGAAAAAAAGAAAACTTTAAATACTTAATCAATTTTAAAATAACAAACATAAACCCATTACAGATTAGCATAAATAACATTTTATGAAAAATGACTTGCAAACAAAAAAAATTAGTAAATGAAGAATGGCACTGTTATGCATTTTTGCATTTCTCTTGAATGTCTAGCTTAATCAAAAAATGCTGTAGTGGGGCTGGTGCTGTGGCGCACTAGGTTAATCCTCCACCCATATGGGCGCCGGTTCTAGTCCCAGTTGTTCCTCTTCCAGTCCAGCTCTCTGTTGTGGCCCAGGAGGGCAGTGGAGGATGGCCCAAGTGCTTGGGCCCCTGCAGCCACATGGGAGACCAAGAGGAAGCACCTAGCTCCTGGCTTCGGATTGGCGCAGCTCCAGCCATTGTGGCCACTTGGGAAGTGAACCAACAGAAGGAAGACCTTTCTCCCTGTCTCTCTCTCTCACACTGACTGTAACTCTGCCTGTCAAATAAATAAATAAAATCCTTTAAAAAAAAAAAGTGCTATAGTGTCTTATCTGTTTCTGATATCAAAGTTTTGGTTGAAGAACACAAAGAAAATTTGGCTTCACTGAAGCAATATATCATTGAAAATGGCAGTGTTCTAATAGCATTTTAAGATAAACATAGAGGGGCTGGCGCTGTGGCACAGCAGGTTAAAGCCCCAGTCTGCAGTGCCAGCATCTCGTGTGGCTGCCGGTTCGAGTCCCAGCTGCTCCATTTCCAATCCATCTCTCTGCTATGGCCTAGGAAAGCAGTGGAAGATAGCCCAAGTCCTTGGTCCCCTGTTCCCACACGGGAGACTTAGAGGAATCTCCTGGTTCCTGGCTTTAGATTGGCACAGATCCAACCATTGCAGCCATCTGGGGAGTGAACCAGCAGATGGAAGACCTTTCTCTCTCTCTCTCTCCCTCTCTCTATCTCTGTAACTCTGGCTTTCAAATCAATCAATCTTTAAAAAAAAAGATAAACATAGAAATATAACTTTAAATACATATCAAAATAACATTTGGTACTTTCCTGAACATCTCCAGTAATGTAAAATCTGAAACCATATCCCTGAATTTTTGTACTGTTCCACTGAAATCACTGGTTCATCTTACACTCTGAATAGCACTTTACCCAACAAAATCTTATATACATTGGTCATTTGGAAAATACTTGTTTCGATGAAGTATGCTATCTTTTAAATGTTGACATAGTTCATTATATAATATCAATCATATTTTTAATACAATCACTTATCTGAAAAGTCTTGAAATATGAGAAAGGTGTTAAAATCTCAGTAGCAGATAAGTCATCCAAAAGCCTAATTTTTGATTAAAATTTTTACTTTTATAATTACCAAGAATACTATTATCTGTTTTCCTTGAAGTAACAGGTGCAATTTTTTAATTGTATTTAACTTTGAGGAAATTTTTGCCACACACTCAAGATTCAGTAATTGTGTGTGTAGCAGACATACTCTAATATGGCCTCCATGATCTCCATTTGCTGGTATTTATGTCCTGTGTGATTCCCTCCTTTTGACTGTGGGCAGGACAAGGGATGTGATTCTAAAACCAACAGCAAATACAAGATTATGTAACCTATGACTGTAATGATATCTCATTAAGGACTCTCTCCCCATTTAAGGAAGCAAGGAGCCACATTGGGAAGACCTACCTGGCAAAGAGTGAGACAAAAGCCAGTAAAATACTGAGACTGAATTTTCAGTCTGATTACCCTTAAAGAACAGAACGCTGTCAACAATCATGTGAACTTGGAAGCAGATACTCCCCCAGTACAGCTTGTGATAAGACAACTTCAGAGACCAGATCCTCAATGTAGTCTTGTGAGATCCTAGAGGTTCCAGCTAAACCATGACCTAATCCTGACTCACAAAACTGTGAGACTGTGAGATAAGTGCGTGATGTTTTAAGCCACCTAAATCTGTAGTAATACTGATACACAGAAATAAATAATACACCATGATCTGTCAGTCATTCTTTCAAGTACAAATAATATTGTATTTTTACAGGTAGTTTAGGTCACAATTCAGTCACACAGCTGCTTCTCTTCAAAACAAGCATGATACTTCAAAGAAGCACTTTAAACAAATGACCCAATTCATCAATAGACCATTACAGAAGACACATATTCAAGGGGCAGAGAGTTAACAAAATTAATAAATTTTAATGCTTCATTAGGAAATTAAGTATAATTGGAATATCTTTTAGTATGAATATATGGCAGGTGACTAATATGAAAACTATAGTACACTTCGGTGCCTCTGCACACTAAAGCACAAGAGTTAACCCACCACTGTGTTGGCATCAGCACAAATATTAATACATGGGAAAAAGCAAATTGTCTGTCTGATTATGGTGACAACTGTTGACTCCTAAACCACTAAAAAGAATCTTGGGGAACTCCTAGGAGCTGCACTGCCTCTCAAAAATTTTCCCAATAACACCTAGCTCAGTTTGCAATCTTAAATACTTTGCCATTTTACAATGTTCATGACAGATTACACTTCTATTTATGTTTTTGATAATATAGGCCCCAGTATTGTACCTAGCATATTACCTGATTTATTAATAGGTTGGTTAGTTAATTCCTGCAGTTATTATTTTGGGTACTAGTTGAGATATCATTAACATGGTAACATTTTCAGATGCTGATTAGATTTCTACTGAATAATTACCTATTACCGTGCAGATTTTTAAATGAGTATTGTTGATACTGATAAATAATATCCAATATCTTGAGCTGAATGTGTAGTTTCAGACACACTTACAGATTTAGTAAAAGGTTGAACAATAACAGAACTATTTGAAGATCTAGATTCAGGATGAAAACTTGCTGGTGAGGGAGCCACTGGATTTGATGTTGGATTCGTATAGTGTTGAGTTGTAGGCTTAAATGCAGCAGAAATACCTGTATATTAAAATTAAACAATATTTTGAATATATTTTTATATAACCAATTGTATCAAAAAGTTCTCTTTAAAATTAAAATAGCATAATAATACTGTACCTCGATTGAGTGCACCATTCTTTACTCCCCTTGCATATGAGCTAGGGTTCACTCTGTTCAAAATATCTATAAAAAATTTATTTATATTAATTTTTCAAAGGAAATAGATACTAACATAACAGAAATCATGTAATGAAAACATACAGGTTTCTGCAAGGAATGTAAGTTATTAAAGATAAAATTTTAGGCACATACATCTTTTTGTATTAAAGAAACAAAGAATATATCAGTAGTAACTTTTATGGAATAAGAACACCTTTCTTAATGTAACTCAAAATCCAAAAAAGTAAAATAATAATAAATATAACTATGTGAAATTCCAAACACTCTGCATGACAAAGAAATAATTCAGAGTAAAATTTTTCCAAAAATATATTTATGTTCAATATGTAATTGAAATATTAACTTTCCTTGAATGAGATAAGGTTGTACACACTCTCAGGTTCCTATGACTCCTTATCCAACCTCCATAGTCCATTCACAACTTCTAAAAGCCATAAAGTTTCATTATGGCAGAATCTCACCGGGAAAGGGAAGCTATCAGAGAATGTAGACTGAACAACTTTAAATTTACTTGAGTAACTTGTAAGCCAAGGGGTTTCAAACTTACCACTGTACCACAAGTCTGAGTTTGATATGCATTTGAGGGTCAGATTAAAGTTCCTAACTCTTGTGAACTCAATGACCAAACTAAAATTTGAAAGCCTAAACATGCTGGGGAAGGGCAAAAAACACCTTGAAAATCTGCCAAGTCTCATAAAAATGTCCTTCTTTTTCTCCATAGTAAAAAAGAACCATATTTCATTATTCTATAAAGTTCACATGAAGGTACAGTGATTTTCTGAAAATGGCAATGTAGTGCTCTATAATTAAGCACTACAGTAGTGTTACTGGAGAAAAAATTGCTCAATCTGACACTGTTTTTACTAAGAAATTCAAGATTAAACACTAAAAATATAAAAAAAAAAACTGGTTTAGCACTTTTTAGAGGTTGTAATCTATAAAATACAAGATTTTATCTTCCTGTATGACAGTTTTATATAAGTATTCAACTCTTATCCCACATGTTAAAATATTTTATGGCTTATACATAAAACCATAAAATCACTTAAATTTTTTGTATTAGTTCAAAAAAATGAATATTACTGGGGTTAATCCCCTTCTTAATGGAATTACTTTAACATACAGGGGCTGGTGCCGTGGCATAGTTGGCTAAGCCTCTGCCTGCAGTGCCAGCATCCCATATGAGCACTGGTTTGTGTCCCAGCTGCTCCTCTTCTGATCCAGCTCTCTGGGAAGGCAGCAGAAGAAGGCCCAAGTGCTTGGGTCCTTGAACCCATGAGGGAGACCCAGAGGAAGCTCCTGGCTCCTGGCTTCAGATTGACTCAGCCCCAGCCACTGCAGCCATTTGGGGAGTGAACCAGTAGTTAGAAGACCTTTCTCTCTGTCTCTCCCTCTCTCTGTCTGTAACTGTACCTTTCAAATAAATAAATAAAATAAAACTAACAGTGTCCTAGTTGAATACCATTAATACTCACAATCAGTATAAATTCAATTTGAGATTCTGAGTAACAATCAGTAATTAGGAAATAGTAATTAAGAGAATATATTATGCCCCACTATCAACAGAAAGCATGACATTATGCCTAATTAATTTTATAATACAAGTGGTATTCCACTTAGCACATCATAAGAGATTACCAATCTGCCATAAGGAAACAGTATTGAAAATTCAATCGGTTAAATAACTCTCCCTCTGATAAAACTGCATAAAAGCACCATTCAAGTCTACAGACAACAGAAGCAAGACCAGTCTCCCCGAAAATTTTAAAGTAGTCTCTTATTCACATTTGAAAGCATTATATTGTCCTGTTAACTAAGAAAACACAGAGAATGTTGCTTACATTACATTCTTTGGTAAATTCTCCTGGCTTAAAACAAACATACAAACATGAAAATAACAAGGAAAGAATAAATATTTTCCCTTTCTCTGAAATTTGTATATTACTTCTCTGCATTTTATTATATGCTTTTTGGACAGTGCTTTTGCTTTGACATTATAAAAATGTTAATTGCAATTACTCTAAGTTAAAGCTAGTAATCCATAAAGATTCTGTATAGGCAGGAGACTGTGCAATCATTCATAGTCTATTCATTTTTTAGCCATGTATAAAAGGCAATGTGATGAAGTCTGGATGTGAGAATTCACATCTGAGACTTACACAAACTCATTTAGTATATTTGAAATTTTAAGCAAAGCACTTCAAATTTTTCTTTTTCTCTACTTCTGGGTTTAAGTGAATAAAAAGGGAAAATGAACAGTTTAACAGGTTTACTCAGTTCCAGTAAAAATTATGATTTTCAATCTCAGAACATCTCCAAGGCCACCAACTAATCTTAGTACATGTTTCTTTCTTCATATCTGATATTTAATAACTTACTCCCCCCTAAGACCCAAAAAATTTGTTTTCAGTGGAAACAATAACTTACAAAACTTGGCTTCACTAAAGTAAATGCTTACTTGAAATTGCTGGTTTTGAACTTGATATCTCTCCAACAAAAATGGGTTCATCATCATCATCATCCTCAACCTCTTTTACTTTCTTCTGCCATGGTTCCAGCTCTTCTTCCTCACATTCCATAAAGAGTTCTGCCATTTTTGAAATATCTAATTTTCAAAAGGAAAGAAGCAAACCTTACTTTCAAAAAAATTTTAAAAATCATTTCAGAAATAATGATATATAAAATCTAATAATTTTATTAGCAATTTCTGAATTGTTATTTGTACTCAGCATATGACAACAGTGAGAAATTCAGAGTCTAACATATAAACTAGCAAACTTCAGATACATACATAGCAAGGGAGGGAGGGGTTGATGAGAAAGAAGAAAACAGTATTTACAATGGACAAAAAACTGAGGGACAAATTCAACCAAAATGAACTTCAGCCATATACCTGGAATATGATTATGTCTGCAAAAAATATTACACTTAACCATCATCAAGAAAAAAAGTATTAACAAAATGAAGATAAACAATAAGAAGCAACAGGTGGAAAATAAATAAAACTAGATTCTGGAATTCAAGTACAGAGCAAAGCAAGGATGAAGTGCTAGACTAAAATATAAGAAATGAGTGATACTTATTCCTTGGGCAAATCAGACATTTATCACCTGAAGAAAGTGATCAAAGCAGTACATAGAGTAAATATTATCATCTTAAAAATTCTGATAAAGTACACAGAACTTGTAGGAAGCATTTTAGTGCCTCACTCTTAAATATGAACAAACAACAAGCACCAGGAATTTTTATTAGAAAACCTCCTATCTAAAAGACAAAATTAAAAAACAATAAGATAAAAGGATCTTAAGGAAAAGAGATAATGCATAGGAAAAGAAAAATATTAGAGAAAATAAATTTGTATGCTTAGAAATATAAGAATGACTATAAAATGTAATGTTCAGAAAAACAAGCTATAGGATTAAAAATGCTATAGGCAAAATGTTTTAATACAGCTAAAAATAATCAAATGCTAGGCTGAGTGGATGTCTTCAGAGGTAGAACTAAAAGAAAAAATTAAATAGAGAAGATTGGCTTGTAAGACAATTAATTTCGAAAGTATAACACTCATCCAGTCATATTTGAAGAAAGGGAATAAACAGAAGGGGTAGGTTGTCAATCAAATAATTCAAGAAAAAACTCGCTAGGAGTTTTAAATTTCCTATATAGGAGGATACAGATCACTGGGCTGAAAGTGTCTACTAGCAAACAACACAAGAGCATCACAAAATTTCAGAGCAATGAAGATAAAAAGCATTCGAAGATATGAAATATGGCAAGGCTGAAACAAAACAGGTTTCTGTTTCAAGAATAAGAAATAAAGCTTGAAAAATTCTTACTAAAATTAATTTTCAACCTATAATTCTACACCTGATGAAACTTTTTAAAAACATGAAGGCAGAATATCACATAAGATATACATATACATCCTACATACTCTTTTCCAAAGAACCTGCTGTAGCATCCACCAAACACAAGACTAAATCATTAACAAAGAAAAAGATACAAGATGCACAAAGCATGGCATTCAACACAACACAATTCCCAGCTGGCTTGGATAACCAGTTAAGACAGTATCAAGAGAAAAGTATTTCAGAAGTAATATCCCTGGAGACCATAGAAAAGATGATTAAAAAGTAAACTTTAAGTTAACAAACAGGTTGTACTGTGTAGAAAACTAAATTGAGAGGTTACTGAAGGATGTGCGAACACTTAGTTACAGATTCTAATAAAAATAAGGAAGTGGAAAAATAAAATCAATTACTTGCAGGACAGTCCAAATACAATAAAAACTATTTTGATTTAACCAAAACCTGAGGTAACACCCATTCTAGTAAATACTTGAGGGAAAAGAGTAATTTTAGAAAGCTAAAATCAGGTGTCAGCATTATGGTTTAACAGGTAAAACTCCAAGTTCAAGACCTGGCTGCCTCACTTCCTCAGCTCCCTGCTAATGCCCCTGGGAAAACAGTGGAAGATGGTCCAAATGCTTGGGCACCTGCAACCATATGGAACACAAGAAGCAGCTCCGAGTTCCTGACTTTGGTATACTACAGCCCTGGCTGTGGCAGCCATTTGGGGAGAGAATCAGTGGATGGAAGATCTCTCTCTCTCTTTCTCTCTCTCTCTATATATATATTTCAAATAAATAAACCTTAAAAAAAAAAAAAAACTAAAATCTCATCTTCCACAATAGATCATAAAAAATGATTAAAATTAATGATGTGACACAGCACACATACATATATTTGTATATGTAAGTACTCTTTGGAAATCTTTGGTAAAGCCATTTTAAGCCTTTTCAGATTATTCAATTTTTAAATTACGTGCTCATATTGCTTTAAGCTATAAGGAAGAGATGGAAACAGGAGGAACAGGTGAAGAGGAAGTGGGGAAGAAAAAGAAATAGAGTACTGAGGACCTAAAGTAATAGGAATGGAGATTGATACCAGTGTGCTTAGCCAGTAACATAGAGGAAGACTCCAAAAGAAATAAAAACCTCTAGGGTTCTGGCTTAGACAATATATCAATTCATCATTTAAATGCTGTCACTTCTAAAAGGTATTTTTTTTATTATAACACCGTTTCTGACTCAAAATGAATAGAGTTCTATGATATTAAAAGATACTAACTGAAGCAATGCCTTGGGAATGGCATAGAAAGAAAATGTAAATTAGGTGTCATTCTGAAAATTTTTTAAATTTTTCCCTTACATAAAAATATGACATGGGACTGGTGTTGTGGCATGGCAGGTTAAGCCCCTGCCTGGGATGCCAGCATCCCATATGGACACTGATTTTTTTTTTAAAGTAAAGTAAAATTTATTTAGGTTGGAAACTTCCTGCCAGAGAGGCAAAGATGGGGGTTCCAAGAGAGGAAGACCCAAAGGAGACTGGTGGCAGTGGACTTTAAGTACAATTTCTAAGGGGAAAAAAAAAAAAAAGAAAACTTGACAGATTGCCATTGAGTTATCAGGAGGGGACAAAAGTCATCTAAAGACCTCATTTACAATTCTCCATCCTGTCTGGCCTGCTAAGAAGAGCTTCCTTGCTATTCTTACTGTAAAGAAGGAGGGCACCATGTTTGTTCTTATTAAAGATAAAGTTTCCAGGGAAGGAAGTAAATATTTTATACCTCAAATTCCACTGGGATCCTGTGGTGAAATGAGAAGGCCACGCCAAGATGGCCGCTGACAAGCAAGCGTCAGTTACTCACGAACGGCTTCGGAACCCACTTGGCAACGGAGCCTGCCTGGCAACAGGCTGTGATTGGTTAGGGCATAAACCGCCCCTTGACCAGATTGGCTACCTCAGCTATATAAGCTGCTGTACGAACTGAAGTAAATGAGTCTGCAAGCTGCTCGCCTTTGGCCAGTGTTTGCATGGTGACTCTGTGCCTTTTGCCCCCACTGCACTCCTCCTGCCTCCACCACACTCCTCCTCTCAGATAGAATTCACAGCAACAGGATCCCTTGATTATCTATTAACCCATCTGACTCCTCACATTCCCTTCTCCTGCAGATTGAAACCCCAATATCTGTTAGGAAGAACTGGGCAATGATCGCTCTGGCTGCTTCATGTTGAAAAGGGGCATCTTTGGGAAAGGAAAAGACAATGATTTGAGACCGAGATTCTCCACTTCTGATCCAGCTCCCTGCTAATGCACCTGGGAAAGCAGCAGCAGATGGCCCCCAAGTACTTGGGCCCCTGCACCCACATGGGAGACCTGGAAAAAGCTCCAGGCTCCTAGCTTCAGCCTGGCCCAGCCCTGGTGGTTGCAGCCATTTGGGGACTCAGAGGATGGAAGATCGCGCTGGCACTTGCTCCCCCTTCCCCTCCGTGTGTGTGTGTGTGTGTGTGTGTGTGTCTCCTCCTCTCTCTATAACTCTGCCTTTCAAATAAATTTTTTTCAAATCATTTAAAAAAGAGTCCCAAACTATTTCCTGGTCTAATGCTACTTAAATGTTTAATACCTCATTTACCAGAAAACAGCCCTTGCTATTTTCCCAAACGTCAACATCATGAACTTAACACTATTTTCATTAATTATATACAGCTTTTCAAGTCAAATAACTAAAAATGCCCATTTTAATTGGCAATTCATGGCTTACCATTTGCATATTTTATGTATTTGAAACACTGCTCTCATTGTGTACCTCAGAGGTAGTATCTATACTGCTGCTTCTACCCATAATATCCTTCCTCCTCACCTCTATGGTCTACATGGCTCAATATAGAGCACACAGAGAGTGGACTTGACATCCAGTGAATAGTTCAAATCTTCACTGCACCATTTCTAATAGTATGACTGCAGAAATCACTGGAGTCTATTTTCCACATGTATAATACACATATAACATGAAACTATAACAGAAGACATTTTATATTATATAGATTCAAGAAAATGCCATAAAAATATCTAACTTCAAGCAAATACTCAACTTTAAATCTGCTCTTCTTAACTCTTGATTCACATATAACTACCTCAGTGAACCAACAGATTTTTACCTTCTTTCTAATTCTGAACTACAATGACAATTCAAGGATTAACATAAATGATCTCAAACTGCTCACTATTTCCTTTGTGGGTCTAATCTCATATGTCAAAGGTCAAAACTGAGCTTTTATTTTTTATATTTTCCCCTACATGTTAGATGGAGAGTAGGTAACAGCACATAATAATGTATGAACTAAGTGACACTAAGCAATGCCCAATTTTAAATATTAGGGAGACCATTGAATACTGATAATAAAAGTATCATTTATACTCACTTGTTATATATTATGGGATGAACTGTGTTTCCCCAAAATTTATTTGCTGAAGTCCCAGTACTCAGTATCTCAGAATTTTGACTGTATTTGTAGACAGTATCTTTAGACATAATTAAGTTGCAAGTGAAATTACTGAGGTATGCTCTAATCCAATCTGATTGTGCCACCAGTAAAGCAGATTAGGACACAAATGCACAGAGGGAAGACCATGTAAACACCTGAGCAGAGATATCATCTCCAAGTCAAGGAGGGTTGGAGCCCATTGTTCATGGCCCTCAGAAGAAATCAACTCTATAACACCATATCCTTAGATTAAGGTGCCTCAAGAATTATGAGAAAATAAATTTCCATTGCATAAGCCACCCAGTCTATGGTATTCTGTTATGTCAAGGCTAGCAAACTAATGTAGTACAATACTAACAGTAATACAAAGGTCTTTCCTATTCTTTTTAACAGGGCTCTATGATTGTTAACACAATCAGGATATATCACTGAGGGAGGAAGAAAACATCAAGATACATAATAGCTGTATAATTTTATTCAGAAACAATTTGGATTTTGTCTATGCATAAAAGAAACCCAAGTGATTATGTATACCCAAGGGATTATGTATTCCAAACTGATAACAGAGAGAAAACATTTCATTTCTGCTTTACTCACTTCATTTATATTATGTTTTTAGGTGAGTATTTATTACATTAACAATTCTAAGTGTTTTGTTTTTTAAGAAAACTTAACCCACCTCTCAGCCTCTCCCCTAAATCAAATTTACACAAATGCCACACATAACTAGTATCAGTCGTGGCAGTAACACTTACTTTTTGGTTGAAAAGGGTTGTCGCCCATCAAGTTGCAGAGTTGACTTTCTGTAAATTGTCACCTAAGTACTGACACATGACATCAGTCAATTTCATTAGTTACTTTAAGTAACATGAAATATTGAAACATGAAACTTGGATTCTTGGATCTAATTTTGATCGCTTCACTCACCATGTGACTCCAGACACAGCAGAAATCAATATCTACGTTTTCCTTCCTACAAAATAAAGATACCTACAATTAGGGTTCATTTTGTTAAGTTAGATCTATATTTATTTAATTTTTTCCTATAAAAATTTAATTTTACATTCAAGATATACATGTAACTCATTGTGCTCATTCCTAAATAAACCAAATTTAATAAATAAAACAGTGACCATGAAACAGTTTGTGGCAAGCCCCAGCTCCATGACCAGGACATGGCTGAAAAAAATAAGATTCAGGCAAATGAACTGGCCTGTCAGATAAGTTCATTCCAAAATGGCATCTAGATTAATGGCTACTCAATCTCCAGGCTCATTATGCTTCATTATAATGCATTAACATAGTAAAAATCACTCCCACTCCAACCATGACAGATTACTATTGCCACGGCAACCTAAGGAACTGACCATAAGGAGAGAAGAGGTGGATCTCTAATACCTAGAATTCACTGCCCATTTCCCAGAAACAAGGTGAATATTCTGTCCAGATGTATAAATTTCCTGAACCCCAAAAAATGGTGAACCACATCTATCTATTAAGTGGCCCAGGTTTTTTTCCCCACTTCCTTCAATAAAACTCAATTGCTGTTCACTTTGCTGGCTCAAGACTGATTTCTCGCCTTCACCTGTCAGGGCTTGTGTCCACGGAGGAGTCCCCAGCTGTCTGGTATCAGTTGCATTAAGTACTATTTGAAGCAATCTGATAAATTTGTAAATTAAAAATATTTTGTGGGGGCCAGCATTGTGGCACAGTGGGTAAAGCTGCCACCTGCAGCCCGCAAGTCATATGGGCACTGGTTTAAGTACCAGTTTCTCTACTTCCAATCCAGCTCCCTGCTAATGTGGCTGAAAAAGCAGTGAAGGACAGCCCAAGTGCTTGGGCCCCTGCACCCACATGGGAGACCTGGAAGACTCTCCGGGCTCCTGGCTTCCACCTGGTCCAGCCCAGGCCATTGTGATCATTTGGGGAGCAAAACAGCAAATGTTTTGCTCTCGCTCTCACTCTCTGTCTTCAAATAAATAAAATAAATCTTTTAAAAAATAAGTATTATTTTGTAAAAATGAATAATAACCCCATAATATATTCTTTTAGTGAACCTGACTTCTGAAATAATAAGGGACATTAGTCCTTACCTGTTCCATTTCAGAAACGAATCTAAATATTTCTATAAGAAAACAATTTTAAATAAATCTTGAGTTTACATTTCTCTAGTTTTTTATTACTAAGTGAAAAGGAACAAAAAACTGGTTGAAATATTTCATCATAGATTCATTCAAAAATAAACTACTCATTGCCCTCTGTATGCAAGAAACATGCTAAGTTCTAGTAGAAACCAAAGGTAAGTCACAGTCACAGCTTTCAGAAGCATACAATCTATTCTGTCATAATTCATTGGGCTTTTAACAGTATTATCAAAAAAACTATCACAAAGATACACTTGAATTGCATTATTTGAACCACAGATTTGTTTGGGGAATTCTTATGTTCATCCAACATCAAATATTTTTCATCTTTGTCATTTTATTTGAAAGGCAGAGACAGGGACAGAGAGATCTTATATCTGCCAGTTCACTCCCCAAATATTGGTAAAAGCTGGGTTCAGGCCCCACACAACAGCATCAATTTTAAAAAAAAATAAACATTTGTTTTAAAAATTGCTTTAGTTACAAAGAAAAAAGGTAAAAAACTAGACACTGGAAACCAAAAATACTGAAATACAAAGATAATTCAATCTTCATATTCCTTTTTCCTCAACCTGACAAAAGAAAATTTTCTTTTTTTTTTTTTTTTTTTTTTTTTTTTGACAGGCAGAGTGGACAGTGAGAGAGAGAGACAGAGAGAAAGGTCTTCCTTTTGCCGTTGGTTCACCCTCCAATGGCCGCCGCTGCAGCCGGCGCACCGCGCTGATCCTGGCAGGAGCCAGGAGCCAGGTGCTTTTCCTGGTCTCCCATGGGGTGCAGGGCCCAAGCACCTGGGCCATCCTCCACTGCACTCCCTGGCCATAGCAGAGAGCTGGCCTGGAAGAGGGGCAACCGGGACAGAATCCGGCGCCCCAACCGGGACTAGAACCCGGTGTGCCGGCGCCGCAAGGTGGAGGATTAGCCTATTGAGCCACGGCGCCGGCTCTTTTTTTTTTTTTTTTTTTTTGACAGGCAGAGTGGACAGTGAGAGAGAGAGACAGAGAAAGGTCTTCCTTTTGCCGTTGGTTCACCCTTCAACAGCCACCGCAGCCGGCGTGCTGCGGCCAGCGCATCACGCTGATCCAAAGCAAGGAGCCAGGTGCTTTTCCTGGTCTCCCAGGGGGTGCAGGGCCCAAGCACTTGGGCCATCCTCCACTGCACTCCCGGGCCACAGCAGAGAGCTGGCCTGGAAGAGGAGCAACCGGGACAGAACCAGCGCCCCAACCAGGACTAGAACCCAGTGTGCCAGCACCGCAGGCAGAGGATTAGCCTATTGAGCTGCGGCACCGGCCTCCTGCTTTCCAATTTCCAGAATATCTGTAGTGAATTAGTCCAAAGGAAAAAAAATGCTGTTTTTTCCCAGAAAATTTTTATTTAAGGAATATAAACTTCATGAATTTCATAAGTACAACTTTAGGAACACAGTAATTCTTCCCACCACACACATTCTCCCATGCCTCTTACTCCTCCCTCTCCTATTCCCATTCTTATTGCTTACTAAGATCTATTTTCAATTAACTTCATACACATATGATTAACTTTGTTTAAAGAGTTCAATAAATAATGAGAAAAAAAAAAACTGTTCCTCACCAGTTAAGACAAAGGCTGTTCAAAGTCATTACATTTCAAAGTGTCAATTTCACTTCTATAGATTAGCTTTTATTATTATCTATTATTTTATTATTTATTTTATTTTTGCTCTATTATCACAGGTCAGGGAGAACATATGGTATTTGTCCTTTTGGGATTAAACACGATGTTTTCACTAAGCATGATGTTTCCCAGTTTCATCCATTTTGTTGCAAACGACAGGATTTCATGGTTTTTTTACTGCTAGTAAATTCCCATAATTTCTTTTTTTAAAAGATTCAGTTATTTTTATTTGAAAGGCAGAGTTAGAGAGGCAGAGGCAGAGAGACAGAGAGAGAGAGAGATCTTCAATCCACTGGTTCATTCCCCAGATGGCCACAATGGCCAGAGCTGTACCAATCTGAAGCCAGGAGGTTCATCCTGGTCTCCCATACAGGTGCAAGGACCCAAGGACTCATAAGGGATGCAGGTGCTGCAGGCAGTGGCTGTACTCACTATATCATAGCACTGGCACCCCATAATTTCTTTATCCATTCTCCAGTCTATAAGCATTTGGGTTGGTTCTGTATCTTAGCTATTGTGAATTGAGCTGCAATAAACATGGGTGTACAGATAATTCTTTCATATGTTGATTTCATTTCCCTTAGGTGAATTTCTAGGAGGGGGATGGTTGAGTAATATGGTAGATTTATATCTATATCCAGATTTCTGAGGTATCTCCATTCTGTCTTCCAAGTGGTTGGAACAGTTTACATTCCTACCAATAGTGGATTAGGGCACCTTTTCCCTCACATCCTCACAAGCCATTTGTTGTTTGTTGATTTCTGTATGAAAGTCACTCCAATGGGAATGAGGAGAAACCTCATTGGGGTTTTCAATTGCATTTCCCTGACAGCTAGTGATCCTGAGGATTTTTTTCATGTGTCTGTTGGCCATTTGTATTTCCTCTTTTGAAACATGCCTGTTTAAGTCCTTTGCCCATTTCTTAACTGGGTTGTTTGTTTTACTGTTGTTGAGTTTCTTGAGCTCTTTACATGTACTGGTTATTAATCCTTTATCAGTTGCACAGTTTACAAATAATTTCTCCCATTCTATCAGTTACCTCTTTATTTTACTGAGTGTTTCTTTTGCAGTGCAGAAGCTTCTCAATTTGATGTAATCCTATTTGTCAATTTTGGCTTCGATTGCCAGTGCCTCTGGGGTCTTTTCCAAGAACTCTTTGCCTACGCCAATGTTTTACAGGGTTTCCCTGATGTTCTCTAATAATCTGACGTTATAGGATCGTGGATTTAGTTCTTTATCCATTTTGATAGAATTTTGGTGTAAGGGGTAAGGTAGATGTCTTGCATCATATTTTTGCATGTGGAGATCCAGTCTCAGCATCATTTATTTAAGAATCTGTTCTTGCTCCAGGGATTGATTTTATCTCCTCTGTCAAAGATAAGTTGGTCTTGGATACGTTGGTTGATTTTTGGCATTTCTATTCTGTTCTATTGGTCTATCAATCTGTTTTTGTACCAGTACCAGGCTGTTTTGATTAGAACTGCCCTGTCATATTTCTTGAAATTTCGTATTGTGATGCCTCCAGCTTTGAGTTGTAGAAGGTTGCTTTAGCAAACTGCATTTCCATATGAATTTCAGCATCATTTTTTTCTGTATCTGGAAAGAATAGTCTTGGTATTTGGTTATCACACTGAATCTATAAATTGTTCTAGCAGTATGAACATGGAAGATTTTTCCATTTTCTGGTGTCCTATTTCTTTCTTTAATGTTTTGTAATTCTCATCATAGAGGTCTGACATCCTTGTTTAAATTTATTCCAAGAAATTTTTTTGTAGCTACTGTGAATTGATCTTAGAAGTTCTTTCTCAGTGGTAGCATTGTCTGTGTATACAAAGGCTATTGATTGTTGTGTGTTGATTTTTATACCTTGCCACTTTACCAAACTCTTATAAGAGTTCCAATAGTCACTTAGTGGAGTCCTTTGAATCCCCCATAAATAGAACCATGTCATCTGCAAATATAGTATAGTTTGATTGCCTCTTTCCCAATTTGTATCCCTTTGATTTCGTTTTCTTGCCTATGGCTCTGGCTAAAACTTCCAGGACTATATTGAATAGCAATAGTGAGAGTGGGCATCATGTTTGGTTCCAGATCTTAGTGGGAATGCTTCCAAATTTTCCTTATTCATTAGGACACTGGCCATGGGTTTGTCATAAATTGCCTTAACTGTGTTGTGAAA